GGTGCTACGGGAGTTTGACTCAACCGCGAGATTTCCCCGCAATTTGGTGCTTCGGCTTTTTTATACCGGGTACTCGCTAGTATATATATATATTTAAAATTATATATTTAAAAAAATAAAAATAAATAAAATATAATATATATTATTTATGGGGGCTTAGGGGGGGGGACTATGGGGGGGGTTTATAAACTTATTATATAAGGTCTTGATAAAAATTGATTAGTATAAGCACTTATTAGGATTTTATTAGATCTATTAAGGCTGGATAAGGATTTATTAAGGCCTTATTAAGGGGTTATTATTTAAAGCTTTATTAAGGTTTTATTCCCTATGGATAATTGAATTTTTTTATGCATTATTTATCGTAAAAACTATGGATGATATAAGACCATATCTGAACAAGGAAGAGGATTGGTTCTGACTATCTTACCGTGGCGAAATTTTTGTAGATTTCGCTGAATTCTAGGCAATATGAGATCTAACGGTGGGTTTTGGCGATTGTCTTCAGATGTTTCTTTTTGGTTTTTGATGATTTTATTTTTTTCGATTTTTTGTGTGATTCGTGTTTTATTTCCGTGATATTTGATGTTTTTCTGAGATTTTGAGTGGTTTCGCATGGTTTTTGGTTTGTATAATCTTTTTTTGAGGATTTGTGTGGGTTTGGTGTTTTGAAGGTTATTTTCGGGGGGGGGGTTTATGATCAAATAGGTGTTATTTCCCTGCTTAGCCATTGTTTATCCACCATTTAGAATTAAATAGTAAATAAGCCCTTGTTAAATTCTTATTAAACCTTTATCCTTTCATCCCAATCCAAATCAGGTGACCCATTTACATGCAAATTACCTGCCTTGGGTGTTGCCTCCCCGCTTTGAGTTTTTGATTTCTTTTTCACTATCTTGAATATGGGTCATGTGTTTGCCAATAAATTGTCTATTCCTGGAAATTTAAGTTGTATTTTTGTTCTTATTTGCTTGTTTCTAGCAAGCCTTGTCCATGCCACTCGAGCCAAATCCTGGTACCTCTTAATTTCGTAATAAATAATAATATATCAATCTCTCCAAATATTTCTTACAGAACAAAATCATCATTGATTTATCCATAGCTTATCCAGGCTTATCCACAGACCCCCCCCATAGACCCCCCCAAATTTCCATGAATTATGAAGGTAAAATTGAATATTGGAATTATTATAAGAAATAATAATAATTTGGAAAATATTAATAATAATATAAATATTGGAATTTATATTAATATTAAAATAAAAAAAATGCCTATTGTAATTATTGATTTGGGGTCTAATGAATATTTATTTTTTCGGAAAATAGGTATATAAAAATGATTAATATGGACCTATCGGTTTAGTTAAGATATTTAAAAAAAATATTTAGATATAATATAAATTTTATTGTTTATATAATATGAAAAATATATTTCTATTTCATTTTTTTTATTAAATTAATAATTAAATATATATATATATTTTTATTTATAATGAATTCGGAATAATATTATAATTCAAATTTATATCAAAATTAAATATATTTAAATATTAAAATATAATACATATCTTATATACGAACCCAAATGCGATTATATAAATTATTTTTGGGAAATAAAATATTTTATTTTTTTTTTTTTCCCGGGTATTGTCGTACCCAATACATTATAAATTGTGGAATACAAAATATAGATAGGGAATGCAAAATCTAAAATATAAAATATGGAATATCAAAAAATAAAATTTGGAATATTAATTTTTAATAAATAAAATAAGGGGGAATAAAAAAAGGAGTGTAAAATGTAGAAGCTAAAATTAGAATGTGAAGTGTAAAATATAGAATGTGGAATATAAAAATATAAAATATACGTATATAGAGTGTAAAATCTAGAGTAAAAAGTATAGAGGTATAATGAATGGTGTCTAATGTAGAATATAAAATATGGAATCTAGAATATGGAATTTTAAATTTAAATTTTACAATGTAAAATATAAAAATTTGGAATATAAAATATAGAGGTAGATTATGGATTATTTAATATAGAATCTAGAATGTAGTGTAAGATCCAAAATAATAAATATAAAATAAGAAATATGGAATATTAAATATAATATATGGAATATATAATATAGAATATGAAATGAAAAATTTCAAATGAAGAATATAAAATAAAGAATATGGAATATGGAATATAATAATATAAAATATATAATATAGAATATAAGATCTAGAATTAACAAGATAGAAATATAATGAATAATGTCTAATAGGGAATATAGAATAAAATATAAATTTTGAAAGAAAAAAACAAAAATATAAAATATAGAAAATTAAATATATATTATTATATATAATATATAAAATAATATTATATTTATTAAAAAATATATTTATTTAAAATAATTATAATTATATATATATTTAATTATATTAAAAATATATATTTATTAGATATAAATATATATATATTATTTATTTATATTAAAAATTATCAAATATTGTTGTTTAGATAAATTTGTCAGGATTTTTATAAATTTTATTTTATTATATGGCTATTATATGAATATTCAGGAATTTGGGATTTTTAAGGTTCACAAAACCATCATTATGATGGAAAATTAATTCCATTTATAAAGGATAAATGTTTGATTTCCTTTTTCCCTCCTAATAATCGGGACAAGATCACGGCCTTATTATTAATGGATATTAAAAATTCAAAATATAGTGTCTAGAAATTCCTATTAAATGTGGCGGTCGTCTCCCCCTGTAAATCCAATGTTATTGATGGGAATTATATTAATAATTAGATGGCGATTTAATTATATTCTTAATTTGCAATCCATATTCGATCCCCAAAACAAAATAATAAGGTCGCAATTTCCAATATCTCAAATAACCTATAACAAAGCCTATTCTTTCAAATCCTTTGTTTCTCTCAATAATAAATTCGACCAAATTAAATTTTATTATATCCATATATCCCATATAGAAATTAAATTTATTTAAAATATTATTTTTATTTTTTCATTAATTTTCTTTATTTTTAATATTCTAAAATTATCATTAAAATTTAAATAATAATTTATAAATAAATTTTCATAAATATTATATATTTTATATTATTATTTCAAAAAAACAAATTTTAATAATTTATTTCAAAATTATTTAATATATACAAAAAATAATTTTAAATATAAATATTTTTTTTAATTATAATATTTTAATTTTTGTATTTTATTTATATTATTATTTAATTAAAATTATAAAAAAAATAAAATATAATTAATATAAAAAAATTATTTAAAATAAAATAATATTTTAAATAATTTTATGGTTAATTATAATTAAATTAAATTATATCAAAATAATTCCTAATTTTATTTTTATATAATTCCTAATTAAATTTTAAATTATTATAATTAAGTTTAAAAAAAATTAAATCAATTTCAAATTAATTTTTAAAATAAATCTTATATTTAATAAATTATATGTCAAAATAAATCTTATATTTAATAATGATTGTCCAAATTTTAATAAATTTCTATATTATTTCCATCAAATTTAATAATTCCTAAATATGCCTAAATACATTTAAATTTATTTTAAAAATACAATTTTAATGATATTATTATTAATTTAATTAAATTAATCCTAAATAATTCAAAATACATCATAAATAAACCCAACCTTATCTTAAACCACAACCCTAAATAAAACCACAAAACACATCACCAAAAGCAAGTATTCCTCATCCCCATTAAATCTATCTAAAACAAAAAAATCCAAAATATAAATAATTAATTAATTCTATTATTTTTTATTTTAATATATATTTATTTTAATTTATAATTTATAATTTAAATATAATATTAAAATATATTTATAATTTATATATAATATTATATAATAAATATATATATAATATAAATATAAAAATAATATAAAAATATTTAATATATTTAATTATTATTAAAATTAAAATATATTTAAAATATTTATTTATTATTTAATATTTCCCTAATATAAATCAAAAAAACCTTATCATTAAATTTTTATATTATAATTAATTATTTAATTTAAATATATATATTTATTATTAAAATAATTTTAGAATTCCAATAAATATAACATAATATAACAATATATATTAATAATATTAATAATAAATTTAATATATATATATATATATATTTGTCTAATTTATATAATTATTTATATTTTATATTTAATTTATATTTTTAATATTTAATATTTATATATTATATATATATTTAATATATATATATAAATATTATATATATATAAATATTAAATATATATATAATTACATTAATAAAATATATAAAAATAAATATATTAATAAAAATTTTATATAAATAAAATAAATATTTATTATATATAAATTATATTTCGTAAATTTAATATTAATATTTAAAAATATATATTAATATTTATGTATATGTTTAATTTTTTCTTTTAAATTTTGTCCTGGTGGATTGTGGGTCGATTTTTTTCAATATTTGAATATAATTATTAAATTATATTTCAATTCAATTTTCTCGATATATATATACATATGATTATATATATATAAATTATTTGATATTCAATATTTTCCGACCGTTCACAGAATTATGATTTCTATGAATGCAAATTTAAAACATTTTTTTTTTTCAAACCAACAACATCGCGTAACCGTAACCCAATCCGGGGTTGGAAACCAATAGAATTTGAAACACCAATTGGTTGGTTTGTATTATTATGCATGCAACAAAAAACCTTTACCCTCCGGTGTGCTCAAACCTAGCTAGCTGGAAAAACCCATGAACGAAATGGCAGTTTCCCGCTGGGAAAAACAAACTAAATGGTGGGTTTTACAGCGCACCATGTCTGATTGCCGCAAGGTACATTGAATTACATTGAGTGGTTTCAAATCCTCATACTTGCGCGATCTTCTATGTTTCTTGTCACTTGCAAAGCTCGTAGTTCCAGCAACACCATTCAGTCCTTTTCTTGCTCAGCTCCTCGCAGCCTCCGGGTTGGCATGAAACAAATCATCATGTATTTAGTACCAAATGATGGTTAATAGTAGTTGATCATGATGGTCAATTAGTATGTGATTATTTCATAATCACTGATCTGCTTAACATCAGAATAATCCAGTACCATCCACTACCCAAAAGACTATTAAAAAAAAAACAAGTTGTCCAAACATGTCCAGTATCTTCATAGGACACCTAAGATTTTTTGATGCCTCGTTAAGGTAAGACAAGAGAAAATAAGATAGGATAAGAAAACGATATACGATTAGATACGATTAGATACGATTAGATTAGATGAGGTAGATTAGGTTAGATTAAGATAAGAAAAGATAAGATAAGATAAGATAAGATAGATATACATTATACTATATGGGGATGGGTCAAAACCCTATCCCCCCTTCTGTTCACATCAAAATAGCTGGGATTTATGGATGTTCATCCCACTAAAAATGGTATGTATAGGTATTGATCCATAGCCATATTGCAGCAATGCGCCATGCCTGGCATAGGTCGCCTCGAATCCCGCGAGCTCTTCCTCCACCGAGCCTGGTGGCATCGCGAACATGGTGTGCCCGTTGAACATACGTGGGAGTTTCCATAAATTCAATTGGCATGTGTCAGGTATGTACCCCATCCAACTATAGAATTCTATGGAATATTATGAATCTATATCTATAATTATATATATATGTATGTGGGAGTTTCCATAGTCATGGGGGATCCCCAATAGCTGGTTGGTTTATGTCATGCAACATCCGTTTTTTCAAATGGATGAGAACTAGAGGTACCCCCATGACGTAGGAAACCTGCATGTGGGGATTCAACAGGCTTTAAACACCAACGAATGGGACTTTTAGATAATTCAATCTAACAGCATTTTGACCAGTAGAAAGGGAATTTAAGATAACGATAGCAGCAACATTTTGGATTTGAGCGATCTGAAAATTGGAAAATTGATTTTAACCACTCAACATTGTGAGAATGAACAAACATAATGATCAACATTGTTGGTTTCAAACAGCAAACATAAAAAATTAACTAGCCGAAATACGTGTTTCACCTTAAACAATTTGCGAGTTGTCCCAAAAAACATGTTTTTGACGTATGTGGACTTACCCGCGTTGGGGTTGTAATTAGCCACCATTTGGTATACGTTCCCAGATCTGCACCACGACATGTCCCAGGTGCCGCGCCTATGGCAGCGTCCTCGCCTTCCTCATCCTCGCCCTTCTCCAGCGACGAATCTGCGGCCGTTTTTTGGACCGCTTGGAATGGCAGACGAGCCCTGTGAAATTCACTAACTCCTGGGTTTAAACCATCCCAATTACCAAATCGTTGGGTATGATGATACCTGGATTGATATGAACCCCCAAAACCAATTGGTTTTAAATTTCAGATCATTAGATTTGGCGGCATTTAGATGCCCATGTAAAAACCTATTTTGGCCCATACCATTTGCATTAGGGTTACTACATAGCCCAATTTTCATGTTTACCAACGAATCGGGGTTCACAGTGGAAACCCGTGTCCTTTGAAAGGTGGATCGAAAACCCGCCCACGTTGACTCATCAAGTGTCGAATCACATGCCTCATTCAACATGGACCTATACCCAAACGGGTGTCTCAGATCTCAATTTGAAGTATCGCAAAAAATACTGGTTTCCGTAATAAAAGTTGGGGTGGGTTGTTTAAACGCCCTCGAATGATCCATCAACTTCCAACAAAAAAACTGCCAAACTAGGTAAATCATAAGAGGTCAATGATGTGCGAAATCTGAATCTTTGGTAAAAGCGCCTGCGATGTCAAGTTGAGCCCTGGCTGTTTGCCACAAGCTAGCCAAGCCAAGCCCTCAGCATCCCACTTTCAGTGTTGCGATGGATAGAAAGGTTGAGACTTGATCTCACATCCCTCTTTGAGTGCTGCAGCTGTTTCACCTTTCACTCAGTATCAATGCGGTTCATCTTCAGCAGCTTTTTTGCCAATATTTCAACTCAGTTCAACTCAAAGACCAAAGGTCCTTTGTCAACAATTTAAACTCAATGCTGGACTGACATACAAGGAAGCTCTTTTGCCATAACAACGCTTACTTCCAGCGTTTGCCGATCTTTCCAACATGGCCGGGGAATCATCGACTGAAACTGAAGATGCTGGCCACTATCCTCTCCTTCCTCTCCTTCCTTCACTCTTTCACTCCTTCCCTGCCTCTTTCCTTCCTTCCTTCCTTATGTTTTTTGTTTTGATCCCGACTATTTTGTTTGATCCTTACCAATTCTGTTTTGACGCCTATGCCCATTTTAAGCAACCGCCAAATATAGGTTTGGCTGAACCCAGTGTATCCAAAAACTTGATGTTTTGTTCCCCATTAAAATTGTAATTTTCAAGATATACTTCACATTTTCAGGCACACCAAAATATTCCATCTGCTTATAATTCACATTATATCCCCATTATATGCAGATTTATTTATTATCATGTTCCCTACTGATTAATTAGCAATTAGTTAGTAGTTGTCAGCTAATGATGATGTTCCCTAGTACTGAATAATTCTTTTGTTCCCTTTCTATTCCCATTACATCGATTTCTATGGAAATTTCCTAAAACGGGGGATCCCCAAGTCACCGTGGGTTTCAAAACTCAAATGGTCGAATTTTAGATGATTTGGGGATACCCCCATCTTAAGAAACCTCCACTTATTCCAAATCTCCAGGAAGGTCTGCATCAGTCGAGTGGGCTGCACCTTGTGTTGTCAGTTTGGGCGTCTCCGCTGGAAGGTGCCCCTCCTGCACGGCAGGCGCAGGCCCCATCTGGGAGGCTGCCTTGGTGCGCTGCCGGATTCCTAATGGCTGGGGGTACCCCCAATAGCTGGATGGTTTATTTCATGGAAAATCATCCCAAAAACTGGATGATGAGAACCGGGGGGTACCCCCATTGTGAGAAACTTCCATATAAGCTGATCATGGTTCATTAGAGTTGAGACTTGTTTATGTAGAATTCGTTGTTCTTCTAAGTGTTTGCATTGAGTATTATATTGGATTTGTGCATTGTGTGGGTGTTCTCAATCAATTGTTTACTGTATATGGGTTGCTATTTGTAGATGACCCAATAGGGACTTATATCATCTTATATCTTGGCCTAAACTTATATATATCTTGGCCTAAATCAGCAACAAACACCCATGAACCGAGGTTTTCACAGTCAACAACAAACCAAAATGGGGTCATTTAGACTAAACACCTGGGCAAATTGCTATACTTATATTCCTTCCCATTTGTTCTTGGGGGAAGTTCCCCAGGACACCTATCTAAACACTGAAAATTGGGCTAAACTCAGATGTCACTGCTATGGGCCCACCGCCACTTTTGGATTCCTCGGGTCAGGCCATGTGAAGCTCGGGTCAGGTCAGGTCAAACTGGTGATGCATATGGCATGCGAAGAAGGGGGTGCTGCCCCATGCCCCCTTGGATATGTATTCCAACTTAATAATCCTAAGCATTACACTCTTAGGAGCTATTATGAACTATTCAATAACATTTCTAGGCCCACAATTGGAATGTTTCTTTTTGGAAGGCCGAGCAGCCGCGGCATTTCCCTCGCAGCGAAGATCCAGCAACTGTCTGTAATATGCCACGGCCTGATGCACTGTTCCGCTGGGTCCGTGGTTGACTGCGGTGTAGATCCATTGGATTTGTTGTACATACGTTTGGCTCCAACAAAACGTCAAAAATACTTGAATCTACCCACTTTTAATTCTTCATGCTTTGTTCATGTCCAATGCTGATGGTGATTTGGGGAGTTAGCGATTGTGGCTCAGTAAGTTCGAACCAAAACAGTTGGTTGATATTCAACACTTAATGTCATTTGATTATTTAGTGGATAATCATTGGCTTATTCTAATGCGGCAAACGAAAATAGATCTATTGACTTGTTGTGCAGACTGAAACTAGAGAAACCATCTACATCCCATGGTGGCCTTGCCAAACATGTCCCATGGTTTGGTTCCCCAGTTTCGGCCACATCTTTTTAATATAAATAGGTATTCCATATATATATATATAGTGACGGACAACCACTTAGAACATCAAATTTTTTCCAAAATTTCGGAACCTGTTCTTAGAACATCAAAACAACTACACTTAGAACATCAAAACTGTTCTAAGTACGCACTTAGAACATCAGAAAAACAGATACTTAGAACATCCCCTTTGATTTTTTGCATACTTAGAACATTAAACACACATATACTTAGAACATGTCCTGTTACTTTGGTAAATCTACATATATACACACAAATACCTTGGTGAACACCATACTTAGAACACTTTCTCCCCTCGCTGCTGCAGCATTCTATACCTTTTCTTTGGGAACAATATCCCAAGCAGTCTTCGCTGCAATGGGAAGGTCTCTAGTATATAAGTTGTGGGTTTCCTACAGGGGGTAGTCAAAAAGCATAGGTTTCAATACTAAAATGAGCTAAAATGAATTATGTTTAATTTTGAATGTTTTGGAGATGCCCGGCAGGGGCGGCAGCCCTTAAATAAATATATCTATATATAGTATTATATATTGTATATATATATATAATTAGCGACGGACAAATACTTCGAACATACATATATGTATGGTTCCCATTGGTTCCCCACTGGGATGTTCTAAGTGTAGCTTGGAAATGTTCTAAGTATAGGTTTTGGGTATGTTATAACGACTTCATACTTAGAACATTCCCGCTGTGACGGTTTTGATTTTTTTTTCCAAATGATGTTCTAAGTGTTTGTCCGTCACTATACATATATATATATATATATGTGTACACCAAAAAATGCATATGCATACAATCATATACTAATATGCATGTATGTATCTAATATGTATATATATATATATATATGTATATATATATATCTGTATATAATCAATATATATATATATATCATTATACATCGGTAAATCGATAATAGTATGTATATATGTATATATATGTACATATTCAAAAATGTGTACATATGCACATATGGTACAGCCCTGCAACCCCGCCCGGGTGATGGCCATGGTTGGAGCATGTGGGATGGCCATTTCAACAAAACAATAACGACCACAGGTTTTGGTGGGGGTTACTGGGTGGTTGCAGCAACCCCCAAAAACATAGAAAAGTAAATTCCTACTAAAATAGAGAAAAATGACTTGTTCCATCTGTTTGAGGGCTACTATACTATACAAACAACAATTTCTCTTGGGGAAAAAAATGTTCTCATTGGTTTTTAATAAGTTTTGTATCAAAAAAAAATCCCATGTACAGTATTCATTCCAAGAACACCCCTTCCCCGCAGGCACCCGCGAGTTGTAACGCCGCGCCAGGCTCTCGTTGCTCTGCGGTTCCGCGGCCAGCTGCGGATAGGTCGCCAGGAAACGCCGGAAACGCGGCGTGCCTGGCAAGCTGGGCAATCCCTGGGTGTCATAAAGAGAAGAAAAAAGGACATATGTCTGTGTTTGGTGTGCGCGTGGGAAGCTCATGTGTCGTTTTTCCCCAAACAGTGTGACCACACTGAGGGGTTCTTACGATAAGTGTTAAGGCCCGGTGTGGTATCCGGGGCGTCCGGCATTTCCTTGTAAATTTCACACAAAATGGCTTTTGTGAAATGTCCATGTGCATTTCGACTGCGCAGGCTCGCACAAAACGGTGTCCCCGGAGGTGGTCCTCGGCCATTTTTCCTTTAAATTTCCACACAAAATGGATCTGATGACATGTCCATCTGCATTTCCACTGCGCAGGCTCGCGCAAAATGGTGTTCCCGGAGGTGTCCTCGGCCATTTTTCCTTTCCACGCAAAATGGACCTGATGACATGTCCATGTGCATTTCCACTGCGCAAGCTCATACAGAAATCTTGCCAAGAAGGAGCTTGTCAAGAGATCTTGCCAAGGGACCTCTTATGGAGATCTTGTTCATAGCTCTTGCCAAGAGACCTCTTACAGAGATCTTGCCAACAGAGCTCCTATAGAGATCTTGTACACAGATCTTGCCAGGAGACCTCTCATATAGATCTTGTACCTAGTGAAGAGAGCAGAGGTTTTCCTCGCAGGTTGTTTATAGATAGCTTGAACAGAAATCCTACTTTGAGGCATAGCTTGAACAGAGATCCTACTTTGAGATCCCTTACAAAGATCTTCTGTGGAGATCTCCTATAGACACCTTGTACAGATAGCCTTACACAGGGACCTTGCACAGCAGCTGCTACAGAGAACCTCTCAACGAGATCTTGCGCACGATCTTCTACAGAGGGATCTTCACAAAGGGAACTTGCAGAATCTGACCTGCTGCTTCTTCTTTTCACTACTAGGGTCGCTCTGGTCCTGCTAGCTTGCAGCCACTGATGATTTTAGGTCCTTTCCACCCTTCCCTTTAGAATCCCAACTGCGCACTGTTTGGGGTCTCTTGCCGGGATAATTTTTGCGCAACGACAAAATTAACCAAAGGTGTAATAATGATATTTGTTGTTAGAATCAAAATAGTACAGTAGTGGGACATGTTGAAGGGTGGATTTTTAGCCGAAGAACGTTTTGAGTGATTTCATGAAAAGATTCACGATGACGTCCAGAAGCGGACAAACATGTTGATCCTTTTGTATCCATTTGTATCTTTGGAAGAGAACCATAGAGGACCAGATTGAGACAGTCTTTGTTGATGATTTTTTTTTTTCGACCCCCTTTTTTCCATCAAACCGTAGATTCAAACCCAATGTAACTGCTCAAAACAATTCAAAAATCCCTATAGGTCTGGTCAAATCTCCATGTGCTTGGGGCACCGAAGCCCCCTGGTCTCTTCGATACTCATTTGGTTTGTGTGAACATACAACATGAATTGATCAACCATTTTTCAATGATTTCATGGCCATGTAGCTGTATCAACCATTTGGAAAGCAAACCACACCCAGGAAATCCCACTGTTTCATTCATATGTTCCCGTCACATCCACATAGTCCGCAAAAATCCCACCATTTTCCAGGTTAAACCAACCACTTTCGCTGTCGATACCTTCATTTTCCCCAGCGCCTCCGCGCTGCATCCGGCGCAGCTGCTGACTGCTCCAGTGGTCCATGCTGGTGGAACGCACGAAGGACAAGTGGACACCCAGGCCGCGATGACGACCTGCGATGGTTCACGATGACGGGGTGGTTCAAGCATTGGATCCATTCGTGAATATAGAAATAACCCCGTATAGCTTTATATATACATAGTAGACTTAAGTAAAATCGATCTATAATATAAACCGGTTATTGCTCAACCCTACTAAGGTTAGAGTGGAGATGTTCAACCACTCTAACTAATTTAACCAATGTACAAAAATATACGTATCATGGATGTACAATGGTTATTATAGTCATGGTGATACATCAATGAGGTGTTTTAAAAAATGTGTTCTACTGATCAAATCAGCGAAATTATGGTGATTTCAATGCGTATGTAACCATCAATCTTAAGGCTTACCAATGAAAACTGTGGTCATATAATGAGTCATCAAAATGGATAGTAGAATATAGTAGAATAAACGGGAAGCAGACTGACTTAGCACGGCAGAACCGCACAGACACTTGCCACGGTAGTGCCATGTTGTGACATTCTTCGGACAGCGCGGTTCTTGCATAAGGTGCTGTATGCGGACGGACTGGTTATGAGAAGCCTAGTAAGTAAGCCTTGCAGGCTTGAAGTCTCCATGGGTATCAGTGGGAAGACCAGTCACGGTCAAAGTGCCTTTCTTGTAAAGTAATTAGGAGTAGCCATTTTCTGAGATTTGTCACAACTGATGTTAACAAAGTCTGTGCACAAATTGGCCTGCAGGGTACTTGTGGTCCGCCCGCGCTGCTGATGCCTCAAAGCCGATCCTTGACGCTCTTGGTAGCCACCATTCCAGACCCAGCTGCTTGAACTCATCCCGGGTACAAACACCAATCTGACTGGCATGAAGGGTTTCCAGGACATGTCTTCTTCTTCACAAATGGTATCTTTTTTTTCGACGCAGGTTTCCTCAAAAAACGCTTCGGCTTGCAAGCAGGACTAGCAAATGAATCACAAGCATTCCCTGCTTTTGCTGGGCTCACAGCGGTAGCAGCTCAATGACTTTTGGGTAAACAAACCAGCAAACTCTGATCCTATCCTGCACACCCTGCTCAACCACTCATGAAACCATGTGATTGCTGCTCTTGGGGGCGACTACTCATGATGAGAATGATGATGAGAATCATGATGTTCAGCATGCTGTGGATAATGTGGAAGATGATGAGGAGAATGCACCAGCGTACGGTAATTACGCGAAAACGTGGGCACGTGCCAATCCCTAAGGATCCATGTATGGAATATTTACCTACATTGGGATTATTTTAAATTGCTTTAGGGGTCAATGTAGGTAAATATTCCATACATGGATCCTCTGGGAATCTGACCGCATCAAGCAAGTGTGGATTCACCGCGTAAAGCGAACGCGGATTGACCGCGCTAAGCGAGGCCCTTTCCCTAATTAACTCCCCTATATAGTAATCCAAGCACTTATCCACAGTGACGTCGGGTCTTAGCTAGTTTCTGTATGCTACTGTGCCTTATTTGCTGGACCCCTGTAAAGCCTAACAAAACAGCACATGAGGATACAGGATGTTTGAGTTTTACACACACAAGAGAACCCCCCGAGTTTTTACACTCACCCCAAAATGAAGATATCATCAACACAAAACGATAGATAACACAGGCTGACCCGGGTGTGAGTGAACAATGAGGACGTAACGTGTAGAAACACGCGTTGAATGAACACCTATGGCTACGCACTGTGAACCACGAACGCATGGAGACAAGAGACTTAGAATATTTATATACAATTACAGTACCACCCCCCCAAAAAAAATAGAAAACTCATGTTTGTTTTTTAGTAAGATTTTACTTCTATATCTTTTTGTGGAATTCTACGACATGGGGATAAAACAAAAACATACAAAAACAGGATCCACTGGATAAATATCCAAACATGTGTACCAGTACTTACTGAAAAGAAAAAACACCACAGAAATCAATGATAAACACCGAGACTAAACCGACAACCAAAGGGGAGTACTGGAGTAAACTTAGCTTAATCTCACACGTTTGGGGATATACATGCAGATTGGTTTTAATGAGCTCATACGAAACAACCGATTCGAACTGTATATGACTAGAGGCCAGCGAAGGGAATTCACCGAAAACATTCAACTTGCTAAGTAGGTGTGTCCTAGGGTTCAAACTTTTTTAAAGCTATAACAAAACGTTAATGATGTTAATTTTATCCCATCACATGCCAGCCGCAACATCCCGCCTGCGCAATCCACACAGAGGTAGGCGCCACACGACAAGCTGGCCCAATCCGCGTCTGGCAGGCCGCAGTCAATGCAGCTTTGGCCTTTGGCGAACTCCTCAAGTTGGGTTCTAATTTTGGCATGTGAACAGTGGCTAAGACCCATTGCTGACCTAATTTGGGAACTACTTTGAGGATGCAGCGCAGGGGCGGTGGAATGCAAGAAGCATCAATCTAAAATCTAATCTAAATCAACCAAAATCAGGAGTGAGTCCGGAAACCCTGTCTCAACTCTGTCTCAACTCACTCAGGAAGGCTCCTCCTGCTCCAGGATCACAGCCGTCAACTCCCGTGCACGCTTCTTAGCTCGTCGTTCCATCTCCCCAGCTTTGAGCTCTTGCAAAGACTTGAATGGTCCAACGTCCAACTTGATGAGAGCTTGGGTCTTCTCAGAGGACGGTGTCATATCATCCGATTTAGGGTTTAGGGTTGCAGGCTGGTGGTCAACTGTCGATACCGTCGCCAGAGCTTCTGTCGAGCACCTTCACCGTCCACCGTAGAGCTTGGTAAAACAACTGGCTGGAATTCCAAAGGATCCTTAAAACTGCATTGCTGCATAAAGAAATGCAGTGGATATGTCCACCGTCGCCAGAGACCATCCAAAGCTCCAAAGCATTCTGCATTGTCGCCAGGATCAGAGGGATCAGTCGCAAACTTTCCAAAGAAGCGCTGGGGCTGTGGCCTTCAAGGACGAAAGCCCAGTGGCTCGAACCTTGCTGGGTTATGCTGGGTTTCTAGTCATGGCCTTTGGATGAAATAAGCTTGAATCTATTCGTCGTGCATCCCACTGCCGCCTCACTTCCCTTATCACAGAATACTTTGCCAAAACATTGCAAGACGCCTTTGAGTACATTTGCAAGGGCTGGCAAAAGGGTACCCCAAAAGTGCCTGGTATGGGAACTTTGGTTGCATTGAGCATTGACTAGACTTTAGGCGTTGAACTGCTTGGTTTTAATTCCGGTTCCGATCTCATCACCATCTTCTTCAATGACTGATTTTGTATTTCTAACCATGAGGCCATGCACTTTGCCCGTCGGTATACTGAATAAAAGTTATGGGTTTTGAATTCAGTTGATCATGATCGGAATCCGTCTTATTTCTATTTTGATTCCATAAGTTAATTTTCGATGCTCACCTAAAGCCAAATGTCTATGGTCAAAGGACGTTTTGAAGGGAAACTTACGAGTTAGGGATCTCAGCTGTATTGTGTGCCAAGAGGTAGCTAAGACAAGATGTAGCTGAGAGCAGTAGTTGGGAGAAGAGACAGCTGAGAGAAGAAGTATCTGAGCGAAGAGACAGCTGAGAGAAGGAGTATCTGAGAGAAGAGATCGCAAAAGTTCGTCGATCCCACATGTGCATATGTGAATAAAATATGCATATATATATGTTTATACACCTGTATAAATAAATGATATGAGAAGCAGCAGCAGTTATGGTATCTACATTCACCTATAAAATCGAATAGGTATCGTTTTAATATATTACACAGATATATTAAATATAATAAATATATGTATCTATATATATATATAGGTATTGTATGGTATTGTAACATATTAGCTTCAACATCCAAAATCATTCAGTAGAAGATTCCATTCACATCCGAATCTCTCAGGTTCCTCACAAGGTGGTGCCCCATGCTTACGTAGCTACATTGGCTTACGCCTAACTGTGATTTTATGGTCGGTATATGAATTATAGATGGATGTTAATGGGGTTTAGTTAATGGATGTTAACTAAAAAACACAATTAATCTAGGCGTAAACCACAGATATATCTACTAGTATTGTGGTTTTATTGTTGGCTTTAGTTAATGGATGTCACGGGGTTTGTAAACCAACAAACATCACTGCGGGGACACCACCTTGTGTACATCATAACTATAGATCAATTGATTATAACAGTAGATCCATGATTATTATGTTGTACAACACATGGAATAAAATAAAACAATTGATCGTGACAATGATAATCAATCCATATATATATGGGATAGCCATGAGCCCCAGTTTGAAGTTAGTTTACAAACCCCATTAACTATAGATACTAAGACTTTGAGAAAAACAACACCCTATAATCCCCGTTTATAAACCCCATGTGTAAACCCGTTAACTTTATGATAATAGAAATGTATATCTATCATAAAGCATGACTCGGCTCCTGCGCAAAGAAGCTGATGGCATCTTCTGGCACCGGCTGCTGCAGCAGGTCCTGAAAAACTGCAAGGGGACAAAGAGCGAAGTCGCAAGCGGGAAAACCCGCTGGGAAAACGGGGGGTTGAACCACCCATTTTTTGGGAATTCACCAGCAAACATGGTGATTTATAGTTGACTTATGCTAGCTAAGTTGGTTTAAGGAATTTCTTAGAGGAATGGAAGCATCAACAATGCGGACCTAACATCACTTAACTATCTGAAAATGGTGCCCCATAGTTAGCTAAGTTGGTTCAGTTCAGTAGGTTCAGTATGGAATTTCAACCCATATTAGCATGATGTTCAAACACTAGAAAAAAGGACTGACAGAGCAAACATTGCCATGCGCCCAAGGTCTTAACACCTTGGGCTGCCGTCACGGCGCAGGCAACTTGCCAGCATTGCTCAAGGCTTCCGAACCAGTGCCATTACCTTTTTTGGGACATGCAGTTGATTGATGTGTTTTTTGGCTGAACAGTGGATGACTGTTAGTTTACAGTTGTACAAATGCTAGACTGTTGAGAGGAATCCTGCAAAAATAAGGTGACTTCCACCGAATTGGGTCAGCCATTTTAGCCGCCTGCATCATAGGCAGGGCTCAAAATTTGGGACATTCAATATGCAACACTTCCAGGCGCATCCCAACTAATAAATCGCCAATTACCCCGATATGGCTAAGGTCTATCCGATCTATCCCACTTCCCACATATAAGTACATGTAAATGGATGTAAATGGTTCATGTGGTTATTAACCCACTTATGATTCCGGGGATGCACATCTACAAACGACTAAAATCTTGCTTTTCTCAGACATGCTTTGGGCCGGTTTGCTATATCAAGTGCCATGATGTACTCGAAATATTAGTTGTTCAATGGGCTTTGAATCAACCAGTGGAACAGTACATCTCACTGCGGGAAAGCGGAGATTTTTCACGCGGGAAGCAACGTAAGACAAACGGATGTATGAATGGAATACACGATTGTAACGGTAATTACATGTAATTACTGAATGCCGGGAACACCTCACCGAAAAAACGGGGGAAACTGGCTTTAGAACCACTATGAACCACTGGATTGAAAGCCCCTGATTGCCACGGATGGCATCTCGAGCAGCGTCGCGAGGGGCCCTGGATCTTGACAGCTATTCGAACAGAAAGTAATGCCTTTTTTTATGGCCGGGTTGATTTATTCCCATCAGAAACTAACCAGATCTTGAGTTACAGAAATATCAACTGTCCAGTTGGTTTCCCCAAATGTTTGCCCGAATTGCCGCTTTGGAATTCCCATTTGCCCAGATCAGTTTGCCCAATTTCCGTTGGAGAAAAAAAACTCCCAAACCGCATCAGTTTCAACCAGTTAGATGTCCTCCGCCGTATCTCATCAACACCCCATATGTATATTAGATCCAATACATATCGATTCCGCCCACAAAACTACACATATTCCATCAATCTCCCACAAATAAATCTATACAGTAGTATAAGTGTCTGGCTACAATCCAAAGGCTAGATCCTGGGAGCCAACAAAAACTAGGACATCGGCTATTTATTAATTCTGTCTGCAGCATATTTTGGCAATTTGGACGATCAACAGACAACAAACTCATCCGGTTGGTGGTTTCACCACCCATCTGAAAAATATGAGTTCGTCAGTTGGGATGATGACATTCCCAATACATGGACAAAATAAAATTCATATTCCAAACCACCAACCAGTTAGTTATATCCCCCATTTATTGATGATATAACGGATATAACCAGATGATCCATATATGAAATTAAAAATAAAACATGTTCCAAACCACCAACAAGTCATAAGGTTACCCGGTGGGATGCCTTCCCAGCTTGGTGTCTCCCGTAGCTCCTCCACTTCTTCCGACGGCTGCTCCGGCACCGCGTTGTGCGTTGGATCCGCGCGATCCGCGCCGTCCTTGGCGACGGCGTCGAGGGATCTGCGGTGCCCAGTGGGGATGAAAACACGCGGCTCAATGGGGTCATCACGAGATAACCATGGGTTAAACATGGGATAAGGATGGACAATCAATAGACAAGTGTGATTAACTGGGATTAAACTCTATCCATCCATATCCCATGATTATCCCATGATTAACCCTATGATAAACTGGGATATGGATGGATATGGCCAATATGGCTTTGTCTGAAACACTTTACCCCAAAATCACCTGATTTTCCGAGACTTAGTGGAGCCGATGTCTCCAACTCGTGTTCTTTCAATGGGCTCTAACCTCCAGAAGGATAGTAAAATCACCAGTAAAAATCATGACTATGTCAGTGTTGTTTTTTTTTCAAAAAATATTTTTGCTGATCACAAAACCTTTAAATTCCTATTGTTTAGATTCCAATTTGTGCCTGGGAAAGTCAATTCGTAGCTCATTTTCTTCTCCCCATCTTTTGGGTGGAATATGAAGTCGCTCCTAGCAGCTCCCTCTATTTACCACCCGAGAGTTATCAACCTCGTTGATTCTCATGGATGCTGACAATCCAACAAACTAGCTAGTATGACCGAATAACATAATATAACATCATATAACATCATATAACCCCCCGTTTTTGTTTTCATAACTCATCAACCAGGGCCAATATTTTCCCTGGTCAATGGGGTACCAAAAAAGGGGGGTATACGCCAAGAGGCGCCCTTGCAGAGCGGCAAAGCTCGCTGTAGCACTTCCTGGGGAAGTCTCAGCCAAGGCCCAAGAAAGATGATGATCATAATAATGCTTTACCTTTTGAAAATGGGTAAAAATGGGTAAACTTTCCAGTTCACTACTACTGTTTATATACATAACTCTAAAGGAGGTAAGCTTTTTGGGATTATTTCATGGATTTGTGTATGGGTAATGGTTGGGATTTAATGTGGTTTTCAAAAGGATGATTGGGATATAACTAATGGGAGTTAAAAATGGAGTGCTGACCCAAAATTGATAACACACCAGTTTCTAGTCTTAGTGGTATTTTATATCGTTGTACTTCATCATTGTTTTTGGGAGTAACCCCGTAACCCAACAATTAACCAACAGAATCTGGAGTTGACATTGTAGACTGACTAATCCCGATGAAACTAGGCAGAATATGATCCAAGTATAACTGAACAATCTTCGAATCTCCCATGGGCCAATCTTAGACCTGAAAAAATGATGTCACGTTGGAAAACCAGCTTACCAAGGATTGCCGAGAATCCCAGGCCCAAAGCAGCGCTGAACTATGCGGTTGTAGTGTGGTTGCTTGGTTGTGGTTTAACCGGTTTGCCCCTGCACAAAACAACCAACAAACTACTGTATCATACTGTATCATTCAACTGGGCTCAAATTCATTGTTACCAATTATCTGGTACCCAACTGCTGTCATCAAAGAAAGTCAAGCTATGACAAACCTCACCTAATTGGTGGTTGAGCCACCCCTCTTAAAAATATGAGTTCGTCAGATTGGATCATCATCCCAACTAACTATTGGGGAAAATAAAAGTCATGTTCCAAACCACCAATCAGTCATTATTATCCTAATAGAAATCTCCATTTATATCAGTTTATATCCCTGTGATCATCATTTATCCCATCATTATATGCCTATTTAAAGCATATATCATCCCCATTATGTTCAGAGTCTCAGGGGGAGGACAAATCCTGATGGGTCTTGATCATGTGTTCATGGTTATTGGACATAACATACAATAATCTCAACGTCAGAAGGATAATATCATGTCATATACAATATATATATATATATATACAATGTATATTTCTCATCAGCTTGTTAAACAAACATGATCCATGTACTAACCATTCAGTTCACGCATTGTAACCAATCAGCGAGGCATCCATAATTAAAAAACAACAATGATTTGGAGCCAAAACCCTCAGGAACCCCTCCATATTTCTGAAGTACGGAAGCCAAAAAAAACTTCACGGTGGGTTTCTGACCGTCCTCAATTCGGATTATCATCCCAGGATATCCCAGGCAGGTAGGATGGATCAACACGCGACACACCGTTCTTTCTACCGCCCAGCAAAATATACCCAAACCAGTCCTGCGCATCTTGCCAAGCTTTCTCAACTCCCTCACCCTGCCAGGTAGCACTCGACCCCCCCCAGGCCCCCAGGATATCTCACTTTGGTTCTTCTTATATACTGATTGGGGATCGATTTTAGTGGGGCTCATTAGATCAATATTAGATTTGACGCGCAGTCATTTCAGATTTTGGGATAAGTATGAATCAGTTACCATGCGCAAGCGCCTTCATTCAATCCCGGCCAGGCTAAATCTCATCAACGCTTTTTGTGGGAAACTTCGCGCTCACCTGATCCCCGATTGGCAATCCCACCAAGAGGGCAAGATTTCTGGGAAAGGCGAAGCAAATCATGAGCGCCCCATACTGAACAAATACTGTATTCCATCCACTCAGAAAGTGCCTTCCAAACGGTAGAAACGACGTAATTCTTCGCAACCACTTCACTTCAGGCATCTACTGCTGCCGAACTCAATTCCATGATCTTCCCCAAATCAGGAGTGCAAACTCAATCAGCTGTCTTTTACATGTTGACCTCACCACACTTCCAAATGTGATGCCCTCCCACTTATAAGTTGGCTTATACATATATATAATATATAATATATATATATATATAAACCCTAATGTCTAGAGCTATGAGTATCATCAACCCTAGTTATTGATAGTTCTTGGAGTTATTCAACCAACTTAGCTATCGAACAGGCCCTCCTGTGTACCCCTGCAGAACTACGTCCTCGGCTGTGGCCAATGATTCCAGCCGGAGACGTTCCTTTCCTTGGAAACCACATGGGGTCGAAGGGCTTGATGCTGCAAGACTTGTGCCCTGGGATGGGCTAGAAGTGGTGCCGGAAATCAATGAAACCAATGAAATCAATGGCAAAACCATGGTTTATGAGCCAAATATGAGCCAATTACCGCTAGTTGACTAGTCCCATGGCCCATCTATGGCGAAGCCAAGAAAGAAGCTACCCTCCCCAACATTTTTTTTTGGCCATGTGAAAGAGGAAATAAATGGTCGTATAAATCCACAACCAACCCTGACCTGACAGCAAAAGAAAACAATAGGCATGATAGATATACATTGTGTATGAATATTATAGTGTTGGATTTTGTTGGATATATAAATATCAAATAGACAACATGTGTATATATATATATATATATATCTTGTTTATTGCACCTATATCTGTTTGCACCACTGAGAAATCGCAGCGAGGTCAGTATAATTCATCCAAATTATTGGTTCAAAACAACAAATATCATTAAATACCATTAACCCATCACTATGCCATTAAAAATCAACTAAATTCATTAAATAGACATGTTCCACCATTTTTATTGCTTAGCTCCCATGTTTCCTTTCTTCAATCTCTTAAACATCCAATGAACCTCCGCAGTTTCTCGTTGAAAATCATTGACCACTGCACATCAAAAAAAACCTGAACTCATCCTTTTTATCATTTACAGGTGATGATCAAACATTGATTTATGAACGAGTTTGTGGTTCTCTTAAAAGATCATATTTTATATGCTCAAATCAATCTTAAATCTATTTAAATCTTCATGTTCCCCATATTTCTGGGTGAAACTCATCATTTGAGTGGTGAATTTCACCATTGAAAATCATTGAAAATTCCCCATCGAAAAGATTCAAAACCTCTGAAATCACTCTCTTCCATCAGTTTAGTGTTTCTTCTATGGTTAAATCATCTTAAATTTCCATATGTTTCCCCAATAGTTTGGTCGAAGTCCATCATTTTTATGGATCAAAAACCCTGACGAATCACCCTTTCCTCATCTAAACATCCAAAAAGGAACCTCTTTCAACTGATTCAACTGGTCGAAATCTGCATTTTTCAACTTGTTCTGCGTGAAAACGTCCTTTTTCCACCACGTTTTTCGGCATTTTTCAACGGTGAACTCCACGCGTTTTCGGGGTTCCGCAACGAGGCGCTCAGGTAGCGGCCCAGGGTCCGGCGCAGCTCGCGGCGGCGGCGCCGGAGCTGGGCGCCCAGCTCGGAGGAGCGGCGCTGCTCCTGGATATATGGTTGAATCAGGTAAGTACTACCGTATAATAGACCCTGAATGGTACTACCCTCTGAAAATGACCCTGAAAAGTTTACCTGGATATAATATGGTTAAATTAACAGTTGGACCCTGAAAATGACCAATTTCCAGATGTTCCAGGATTTTCAAAGTTCCATGAATCAAGATATGATGATGGTACATTGTGGGCCCCCCCAGTTGTAAGTTGGTTTATAAACCCCATGAACATCAATTAACTATAGTTATTTGCGTACCATAAACCATAGTGAAATTGGAGTTATAAACCAACTTAGCTATCTTGGGGGCCCCACATTGTAGTAAATTACTATTATATTATATATATATGAATTACTATAAGGCAATGTGGTGTAATAGCTTCACTATAGCTTCACTATTGTGGTTAATGGATGTTGATGGTTACTATTACAGTATATATACTGTATTTTTATATTATGATTTTCAGGGTTAGAAGCCCATCCTCCAAGAATATGGCAACTTACCAAACAATTGTTGCGGACACTGTGAACTGGTCAGATGTCCGAATGTGTGTTTGAAGGAGCACACAACAACTGCACTGTGTTTCGGTGTGAGTCCACCTGCAACCCCCGCCGCATGGCAGAACTCGCAGCATGCAGCCCGAGGGGAATGAATGGGCATCATGTTGACCCTGGGTTGCCCGAAAATTCTGGGATTCCATGTCTTGCATTTATGAACCATGGTAGCAGGTTGCAAGCAACAAACATCTGGGAATTTGGCTGCAGTTGCTGCCACTTGAAGCAAAGAGACATGTTCTGAATGTTCAATATCTTCCTGGGTAATGATACGACAAGGATTGGGAAGTGAGGCGATCCGATCAGCATCAATGATATGCTCCAGGAATTCGAATGCTGATTGAAAACCAAGATTTCAGGCTGCTGCCGTACACCTGGTGCCTGTTGCTTCATGTTCTGGATTGGGTGGCGGAATGGCCAGTCTGATGTAATCGCCAATGAGGAGCACCCCATTGCGCCATTGTAGGCATGGCAGTCTGGCGTACTGGCAATACGTGTCCAAATACATGGCTCTGATGAACTGCTTAGCACTGATGATCGGCGAAGCATATATCGCTGTCCTGGTCAATTCTACGTTCCAACTGGGTGCAGGAGGATGGAACTCAACGTCAACCAAGATCAACTTGTGGTGACTACCTTCCTGGATGTCGTTGACATGGCGCACCAACCAAGCTTATTTCAACTGGTCCAGCAACTCCCGGGGTCGAACATGCAAGTCGTACTCAGCAGCTAATTGTGCATCTTGCCAGTGCAGGGTGCAATTTGTCTACGACGCAGCTGAACGTTGGGGACATGAAGCTGGGCTGTGTCTGGTGGTTGAACTACAGAGTACAACATGGTTTCTTACATTTACCGTTGAACAGATATACCATACGTGGAGCATATGGGACATGTTAGCATTAAAGCTCTCCAGCCACCCCGCGGTTTCGTGTCCCAGTTGTTTTTTATAGTTCACTTATGTTTAATTCCCAAATTTCTCTCCATCACCCCAATATCGCTTTAGTACCAAAATGCCGTTCCATGTACTTAGTTCTGCCCAATCTTTGTCCACATAATTGAGAATTGGGATTAATCTCGCCTAGTGACTTTGAGAGCAACATTGGCAAACATATCGAATTGTCTCATGGATTCGAGCAGGCTTTGCATGAAAAATATGATGTCTACCAATAACCTCTCGCCTGTCACCCCGTGCTTGGGACGCGCAGCTCATTTCTCGGGAAGAATGAGGGTTGACGTTTTTTTTTAACTGAGAAAAGTATGGAAACATGAAGAATGAAGATTTTTCTGATGTTTTTCTGATGCACCAAAGGGATTTCACCCAGGAATTGTTGGGATTTCACTTTGAACATGTGTGTGAAAATGGGTGGTTAATTGAGATTCACGATGAAAAATAGGGAGTTGACCAACAACAAAACGCTTGATTTGAGGTGGGCACCAGCGCATGCAGGAACTCAAAAAGTATGACCCCAGGGAGTGAAGTCAAAAGGCAGCATCAGATTGCGACTGTCCAGAAACCCTTTCTTTTATGGTATAATTAGACTTTTGATCCATACCCACGCGTTCCCATTTTTTTACAGATCCACATGTGAGCGTGTCTGAAAAAGGGAGGATACCTACATAGATCATCATAGATCTGGGAACATGAGGAGTGACCACGAGATTTGGGGCTACCCTATTTTGCCCTATTCAGGCAAACCCCTGGGAAAAATATGATGCTTCACTCACCTGAAATAAGTTCCCCTATTCAGGGATGATGGGGACCCCCAAAAAAAACCATCATCTGGTGAGGTCAAATGGGGGTCGCTATTTTCTAGTTTCTCCAGATTTTGTCCAAGATTACCCTCTGGTAAACGTTTACATAACTATGGAAAATCACATTTTTTCATGGGAAAATCCACTATAACTGGCCATTTTCAATAGCTATGTTAAATTACCAGAGGGTATTCCAACAATTGTTCTCCAATTTTTTTGTGGCCTCGGTTTCCCAACTTCCCAACGGCCCAGCTAAGCACCGCTAAGCACCTCATCGACCACCACATCTCGAGCGGTGTGCGCGCAGGCTTTACCTTGTGAAAAAAGGGAACTGGGCCGTCCATGGCATTGTGTTTTTTTCAGAAAGCAAAAGCTGCTTTGTGGAAGTGAATGGAAATAAATTGTGAAGCCAACATGTTCCACTGGTGTTCAATTTTGACTTGTATTGCGAAGATCTTTCGAAGCCAAGTCAGTGATTTATGCGACTATGAAGAAGACATTAATATCATTAATGAGTCAAAGTTCATCGAGGTATCCGCGGATGCCCAGTCCCACGATTTGGAAGGTTGGCGGCTTGTCACAGAGTTCTTCGACGCGAATAAAAAGGGAAGGCTTTCCAATCATCACCTTGCAAATTGGATTTCACAATGTTCATGGCCAGGTTGTAGACAGGGTCATCCTTGACGCAAAGAGTGGACAACTTCCCTTGAGCCCTTGAGTTGATGTTCCGGAGCCATTTCATAAATTGGTTGCGTCTTCTTTTCAAGCTTCCTCTTGGCGACTCGACCGCGACTCAGGAATTCTTCCACAACGGGCTGTAAGATCCATCCTGGTTACATCCTCGTGACAAACCACAATCCATCAGGATAGCCCTTGGGCATAAGTAGACATAGCCCTTGAACCCTGGTTGATTGTGTATTACAGACCTTACCTTGGCGAAACAATATGCAACAAAAGAAACAATCATGGGGTAAAAGCATGGTTGGTCTATTATTTATAGAGTGCCTATTCACCTGGATGCATAAATGGGTAATTATATGTGTTCTTCAATTTATAGATTATATATAAAAAATCGTCAAATCATGGTGTGTTGAATACGCATTTTAGATGGTTTTCAACCTACCTGGTTTATTGGGGGTTGTCGTTTGGAGCATTCTAGGAATCCGATCCCAGACAATCAGCGCAGAGAGATGACAAATGGTTTTGAACACTATTGATTTGGCGGAACATCTTTTCTCACATAGATAAATAAATAAATAAACACACATATATATATATATATAAATTCTCGCCCAGTAAAGCGATACAGTGTTTCGTGCACATCTCTGACAAAAGTGTTTCCGCAATACTACATTGGTCTTCAAACATTTGACCGTGACTCATATATCTATGGATAGCAATCCTAGCACATGGATGCACCTGGCACATATTCCATGAAAACAAAGGTCCATTTCAGGTCCCCATGTCACAAAATGCCATGAGTTACAGTAAGGGCACCAAGAGTTAAGCCATGATCGGTGCGCAAATGTCCTGCAAATTTTGCCCCTAGGTTTGTCTCAAAATGGGGTTAAAACCCAGAATGACATTGTTATTTCTGCCATGAAAACATATGGGTTTGTCTGAAAATAGGGTATATTCCCAATGAAATAGCCATTTAGTAGGGATAATGATCAGCAAAACCATTGGGTGTAGGGCTACACAACATTTTCAGACAAAGCCATATGATAAACCATCAACATTGGAGGATATGGAGAATCGAATCGAATTGGCAATATGTAAAAAATCATTTGGTTTACCAATGTTGGTAGCTATGAAAGCCACAGAGAATTTGACAGTGCCACCATTCTCACGACTCGTGAGGCAGTCAAAGAGTCCTCAAGGATGGTTGTACCATTTTCAATGGAAGAAACAACATGTCTGAAACCACAGGAACGCTTTCTTCTAAGCAAACTAGTTAGTTGCAGCCGGAGTCCATTACAATATTACATACCTTCATTATATTGTCCTTTATTTATCTTATTTATTTGTTAAATCCCAACTTTTTCTCAAGAAAACCTCATGAAATCGAACAAAAGTGGGTGCTGAAACCACAACTCTTCTTCATGAAACCATCTTAGATCGATTTTCTCGAGCACTTACCCCCGGTAATCAGACATGGCAGCGAACACACCCGTTTACTTCAATGCTTTGCCTTTGAAACCTGCATTTATAGAGATTTTCCCAGTGGCACCAAAGGGTGCGAATCATTCGTTGGTAGGTAAACCTTCATTATATCATATTATTTTTTTGTTGGTACACTAACAACACACTAACATACACTAACCATTCTTTTGGGCTTGTTGTTGGTAAAATCACACTTGCGGTTGGTTGAATCACCATTTTTGATGGCAGTTGAATCCCAATTTTTCTGAGCTACATGCCCAATTGTCACCCCTTTAGCAAGATCCCACCACCACTTCACCACTTCACAACTGCCAAGGATACACGCGACAGCCCTCAACTTCTCATCAGCCAAGCGCTTCTGTTGGCAGAAGGCGTTGGCGATCTTCTCCTCAGAACCCCCGCAATGGCCAATGGAAGAAACAAAACATGTGCCATGGTGAAAAAATGGGATGATTTTTTTTCGGAGAAGGGATTAAAAAGGGATGCTTTAACCAACAGCAGTAGGTTTTTTCATGGGAATATGATGGGGATATATTGGGATGTATTGGGATATAGAAACCAAAAGTGCCATGAGTTGATGGGTTGAACTCACTCTCCTCTGGCCAGCCACGTGGGAACTCCCCGAGGAGGGGGAGCTCTTGGTTTTTCGAAATTTGTGGAATTTCCATTGCCAGGTTTGATTTCCGGTAAGGGATAATGAACCTAGCTAGTTGCATTTTGATCACGAAAAACCATGAAAAACCAGAGAATCATAGGATATCATAGGAATATTTACGAACCAGCCAATGTTGTGGGATGGGTTAGGGGTAATTATTTTTCACGGCTTACAAGTACTAGAGGTTCTACTAAGATTGGTTTACCCAATTCAGACATGCCAGGTATGTTATATACATACATCCTTTGATTTTGGTAAATGGTAAGTCACTGGGATCTTCAGCCACTTGTACTGTAGATGTGGACAGGTTTCTATGAATTATGTGAACCTTTTCTCCGGTATAATCTGGGGTGGCAATGCACATCCTAGATGTAAAAGGATGTTTTTTCCCCATTAAACAAACATACGTGATATGTATAGGTTTGTCTTGACGTTTACCAATTTGTTTAGCCCTTTGATATGGGAAAATGTATTGGATAACAAACATCCTAGATGGTATAGGTTGGCGAGGCTTGCTCTGCCTAGCTTCCTTACATGGGCTCCATCTTCAGATTTGCCCAAACAGCACCAATGAGGTTGTCACACCTTCTGAGAAACAGGTTTGGATGAATGAGGTATATATGTGTGGGTGCGTGGGTTCAAGTATGTATCTTTATAAACCCAAGAGTTTGATAATCCGGTACCCCCATCTTGGCGTTGACATGTAGCAATCTTTCCTTCTAAGAACACATTTTAGAGGAGCTGGTGTTGACGTACATATCACCCTTAAAGCTTTTCACAAAAATATGTAATATATTGTGGAATGACTGATATATATATATGCAATCATATCTCCATTAGAAAACTGTATACCCAACAATACCAGTGCAGTTAAATCTCCATGGGTACACCATCTTGCTGTCTTATATCCCAACAGACTCCTATGATTTTCCTCCTGTTTCATTCCATTCATGGGAGATATATATATATATCTCAGCAATTCTCAACATATACCCCAACATCTTCCTAATGTTATTATATGACTTTCCATTCGCCCACCACTCTCCACCGCCGTGCCGAAACGGCGCCGAAACGGAATGCTCCAACTTGGAAGCTCCGCCTGTTCCAACTTGCGCACCAGCCACAGAAGCTCTCCTGTGCTTTCCAGCTGAACATCCCCTGTACGCAGTACGAAAACTGAAGCTGGCTGAATGGCCCAATTCTTCTTCCGGATCCAGCTCATTGCGGCTGAAGAGCCAGAGTACCACGACGCATCTTCCACCGCATTCCTCTGGGCATTGCCACCTTCAAGGCGTGCTTAACCCCAAGGCTCCTAGGTGGAGTGTCATTCATCGAATAGCACTGCCAGAAAGGATCCTCCTGCAAGTAGAGGATGCACAATGGTTTGTTGTAGAGCTTCTCGCCATGATCATTCGCTGTAATGACTATAAACTGGGGTATCCCCGGTTGCAGACAAATCCATGTTAATAGAGACGTGGTTGGTTTGGGCCTCGGTAGACAAGAATGATGTTTTCCAAGCCCACAAACATGAATTGAAACGTTGCCAACAACAGTTTACAATTTTGTTGCCAACCATGAGGATCGACTCCACTATATAGGAATCGTGGGATTGGACACCCCAGTGGTCGGAGATATAATAATAAACATAGAAATCGACATTTATAACTCATCATTAGTTATGAATATTTATCTGTCATTAAAAACTCACCATTATGATAAATATAGAAATCAGCATTTTTTTCAGGTTACTCCAGGAAGGATAGGAAGATATCTCCCATAGAAATCCATAGGCAAATCAAGGACTGGCTCCGGGCTATCCTCAGGATTGCGAATTTCATAGAGATAATACACAATAGTGATATGACTATATTGTGATTGAGCTGATTGTGTTTTATATATACACACATAATATCATATATATATATAAATTATATTATACATACATTTATGATGTCCGCCTACAAGACATGAATAATGTTTCACAGTTGCTGCTGGCGGGTGGTTCCTGAATGCAATTAAGCGTGTTTTGGAATCATCCTCCAGAAGAACAGCACTTGCAAACATATCACCATATTGCTACAATGTGGGTAAAACAACAAACCACCTCCCAATTTTACCATCAATGGGTCGTATCAACCATCAAAATATGAGTGGTGTATGATTGTTTTACCCACAGTAGGTGTTTTGTTCAGTCAAACTTAGATGTTCATGGATTTACCATCGATTTGCTGCATCAAACCATTGATTCAAAGATCATCTGAAGGAAAAAAACAAACATTTTTGCAGATCTTTCCATAGCTACGTTAGTTTACCAGAGGGTAAACCATCCACCTATTGGGATACCCCCATGGAAACATATGGAAGCTACCGTTCTTTCCAAGTCTTTCCCCATTTTTCGGCGTCCAAAACGACGACCCCGACCCCGTGCGTCTCGCCCGGCCTCGAAGTGCTTGGTGTTCTCCCGCAGCTGGTTTTCCAGCTCTCGGGACCTGGCCATTGGAGAAACCAAACATCACATATGACATATTAGATATCAATTAAAACAATTAAATATCAGTTATATTTTCATTAGATTCTATTATGTTATCTAGAATATATATATATAATTAAATTATATATTCTCTTTAGCCTTAACACACTATATATATTCATTTGAAATCTATTTGTATCTGTGCCTACTTGGGGTAAACCAAACATCAACAAATTGGTCTACGCCATCCAGGTGGTACATCCGTGCGGCGGAGCGCCATCCTGGTTTGAATATGGGTGGAATACGACCAAAAAACAGCGAAGATAGCCACCATTTTTAAGGGAAGTACGCTGGCTGAATAGAATATGCCTACTAATACTTTTTTTGAAATATGTTTTTCTATGTTTTTCTTAGGATACTATAATAACCACCATTAGTGTACAGTGAATCTGTGCTGAGGCTCTTGAACGGCAAGCTGCAGCGATACCTCCCCCGTCCACGCCTGCGTTGATAGGCCCCACTCGCCTCCTGTCAACGGCTGGGCATGCTGATTTCACTGATCCAGGTCAGTGAGAAACACCAGGGGGTAAAATGGGATCTTACCTTTATAATGCATAAATAAACACCCTTAAACATATTGCTGTATTTAAGTTCATGTACTATTATCATATTGAACTTAGGACCATGTAGGTTCATGTGTCCCATTTTAGTCCATGCGTGACGGTAAAATGCACCACATGGATCGAAAGATATCGAAACTCTATATTTTATAACACCTTGCTCTCGAACTTGGCTCTTTCTAGTTGACTCTGGCCACATTTTAGTACTGATTGCCACACGTTCGTTATCATTTCATGTGGGTGTGGGGAAAAAGGATCAAACCCGAGTACGACTATTTTGGCAATACTATGCAGCCAGATTTCCTCAACACAAGATCCAGACCCATGAGATCGCATCTGATCTTGAGATCACAGCAATATATGGTTCCGTTCAATGATGTTTGTTGTTTTTTTGGTTTACAAACTCCATCAACTAGTTATATTAGTTCGATATATCAAATACTCTGATACTCTCCAATAAATTAGCATAGACCCTGAAAATAGATGAACATCACCCATTTTCAATGGAAATTAATCTTCCAACCCCCTATTTGGCAGGGTCTATGTGAATTTAATGGAGGGTATATGTACCAGAACCCGCGTCACCTGCAGCTCATTGAGCTGCATCTGAACCTCCTCCAGACCTCGGAGGCCGGAAGACCAATGAGATTTATTGACGTTGAAACGAAACAGGTGAGACATCATCCTACCCATAGGATCCATGTATGGTATATATACTAACATTGGGGGTATATTGATGGGATCCATGTTACCATATATAGCATACATGGATCCTATGGGTTATAAAATTATGTTGAAACATATCCAATCATGCGGAAATCAGTCTTATTTCATCTTAAAATCTCACTGTCACCTTCCGAATCCAAGATTTTTGGAACCCTTACACTCCGATATTTTTTTTTCGACCACACCCCAAACCCCGAAAACTCCAAGAATTTTCGCCCAGACGCGCAGGGTCAGGGCGCTCTTCTCCTCCTCCAACCTGTCAACCACCAAGGCTGTTGGCTACCCCCCCCCAGTGATGTTAGTTGCTTTGGTGACCTGTGTATATAGGAATATATATATAAGATTATGTAGGAATATACATACCCATTAAAACCATAGGGATTTAACTTATTTAAAAAGTTGAAATTGGGATGATCCTGGGGTTTTGCCTTGAGGATGTTTTTTAAAAAAAAAGCAGTCCAAGAATTGGGGGTTTCCCAACATATCAGACAATTGGGGCTTTAACAACATCAACACATATCATCGTATTTAAACATCAAATAAAACCATCAGTTTTCATAGGCTAAATATGGAAATTTAGCACCGTTTCACCACATATTTCTGAACCATGTTTCAAAAAAACCCAATTCATCGAGTTGTGTTTCCGGCAATTTTCTCTTCATCCAACTCTGGGAAGAATCTGCAGTTTTTTCATTTGAAATTCATGGTGGGTTTGAAGGGAACACATTTGGATTTTTGAAATCCACAACAGAAAACCAAAATGGTTGGAATTGAAATGGTTGGTCACCAGTCATCTGTATAGTTTGGATTCTTTTCGGTCACACGGTCACATGCATGTGATAACTTTGATTCTTGTCAAAGAATTCCAAACACAGGTTGCTCAGGGGGGAAGATAGTGTTGGCCACTTATGTATTAGTGGAAGATCCTAAACACCCTATCAGCATATAAAGTTTTTTAAAAACTTGGCACAGGTTCGGCATATCTACAGATTCTATCTATATATCAACTAATGTATAGATATATACCATCTGGTTGTTTAGCATAGCCATAGAAAATCACCATGTTTAATAGGTAAACCATCTATTTCTATGGGCCATGTTAGTCATAACCAGGTCGGGTATATACTGTAAACATCTGGTTCACCATCTCTTGATTTCAACTCATGATCCCCAGACATTCCATGGCAATCGTGGCCGAGTTGCACCACTCTCTTGGAGGAAAAGGACGAAAGAGTTTCTTTGAACTCACCCATCCTGAGCATCCGGGACGAGCAACTGCTGGATGCTTCTAGATCCAGCTCGTGAGCTCTCTGATATACCAGCAGCCAGAGGATGGTTTCTGCCCGGAACTCAGACCTTGCCTATTTTTGAATAGGCCATGCGTCCATCTTTTTTTGGCCCGGCCTGACACTTAGACACAAACCATCAGGGCAATCAGGCCCTAGCCAAGCCAAGTCAAGATGAATGCCATGCGAAACAGAGTGGTTGTGTCATTTCAACCCAAGGTTGGCGCGTCTCTCCAAGGCTAAAATATTGAGAATGACACGGTTGTGTGTCTGAGAATGGTGTTTTTCACGTATACCATCAAAATGCTATGCGAAATCATCTTTTTCCGGCACCAGTCTGGTGGAGACAGGTCATAAACATTTCAACCCCAGATTGCCTCCAAGACCACCAAGGATAACGAGCCAAGGGGCTGCTTTTCCAAACCATTCTTCAACTCGTTCAGAGATTCTTGGAGGTTCTCTTGCTCCGCGTTCAACTCCTGGGAAAATCCCAGCAGGACCAAGCCGCCGGTGAGTAAGCTTCAACAAATGATAGATGCCGATGGTTAAAAGCATGGCCCTGGCACCTGGTCTTATACATGTACTCATATACATGTCTGGTTGGTGGTTTCAACCCCTCTGAAAATATGAAAGTCAGTTGGGATGATGACATTTCCAATAATTATATGGAAAATAATCCAAATTTTCCAAACCACCAACCAGATGTAGTTGTTGACGGTTAAAATTTGCCCTATCCATAACCCCCAACATTCAACCGGGCCGCTTTGGGTTTGGTTCTGACCCCTTGTGGCTTGATCTTTCCCCGAAGGCTGGGGTCCACAAGCCGAAAACAACTTGATTGTTTGCATAAAGAAACGGGCACCGTAAAACCAGGTCTGGTGGTTTTAATGACCTTGTATTAGTCAATGGTTGCTTCCTGTAATGATCACATTATTTCAACTCCAACATCCAAATTCAAGAACCAACCTCCCACATGTTTCGCACTTCCATCTTACCGTCTGGCCAACAAAATGTGATTTCCTCATAATATTTAAGTCAATCCTCTTCAATCCCTGATTTGTTTATGGCTACCCTCTGCTAATTTCACGTGGCCCTTGAACATATTTGTTTATCATTGATTTACCCATTACTTTAATGATGATTGGTCATTTATAGCTGACTTATCCATTAAACATGATGATTTTCCGGTTCACAACCTGTCAAAACCCGCGGTTTTTCCGCGTGTTTTTTCCGTCCGTCCGTCCGTCCGTCCGAGATCTCCTTGACTCCTTGGTCGAGGCTGTGGAGCATCACATCCGCCGCCTCCAAGAGTTGATCGGCCTAACGACAAGTGGTGGACCAACGACGGAAGGATTTGTTTAGAAATTATAGTAATGATAATTATAGTATAATAACTATATAAGATGATAGTGATAATTGGTGACATCATATACATCTCAATTATAGTAATTTCAGTGATAATTGAGACGGATGACTGAATTAGATGTATATGATAGTTTTACTTTTGTACAGAGTATGATATTAGATGTATGATGAATTATATATTATGACATTATAGAATGATATAGTCTGATATAGTTGGTGGTTGAGCCACCCCTCTTAAAAATATGAAAGTCAGTTGAGTCATTTGGGATTATTATTCCCAATATATGGAAAATAAAAAATGGGAAGTCCCATGGGAAATCATGACTTTCATGGTTAAATCATGTGAAAAATCACCTTTTTCGTTGCTTAAATCATCTTAGTTAAATCAACTATATTTAACTATTTACTGGTTGGTGGTTGACCTACCCCTCTGAAAATATGAAAATGGGATGATGAAATTCCCAATAAATGGAACAATCCAAAATGTTGCAAACCACCAGCCAACTAGAGTATGATATTAGATTTATTGCGAATTATTATGACATTATAGAATGATATAGTTTTTTTTTCCGGTGCAAAATCAAGAGTTGAGTTGTTGTTTGCGACAGACATTTGTTACACAATTTTATATTTGGCCGAAGAAACATCTAGATTTTCCCCAGCAAAACTGAGAAGATTGAACATTTGGAGAAAATACGGAAGAACGTTGGTGATTCAAAAATTGAACTGGCGACAAAATTATGGATATGCTTCAGCCCAATTTAATGGAACCACAAACTAGGTCCGCCGTCTACCCGTTCATTGTTCCCTAAAAAGCTCTTGATATTCTATCCATAACCACCAGTAAATTAGCATTGATCGGAAAACCCATGGTTTCCCGTCCGGAAATTATATAGAAACCATACTTACATACCATCTCAATTCAACATATCTCATCCACCCGCGTTAAACTTCTACATTCATTGAAGGCCATCAATAAGGGGTTTAATTCTCCCACCGGGGTTAAACTTCTATATTCGTTGAATATCTTCATTGATGATGATGATGATGATGATGATGATGATGATGATGATGATGATGTGGAACGAACCCGCGCAGGTCGCTCTGCTGTGCGTTCTGATCTAGAACATCAAGTTAACCATAATGCTAAAATATCTCATTTTCACTGCCTTTTCAGCTCATACGAAGAAGGCGGGCCAGCAGGCGCGGGCAAGACGAGGTGTTTGGCAGTATGATTACTGTAGAAATCATAACAATTTGAAGTCACTAGCCCGCTATATAACGGTTCCATATCATCAAACGTTCGTGGATTGACAATAGTTAATTGTTTGGAAGTCAATAATTACTGAAGCGATTGTGATTACCCAGAACATCAAAGTATATGACAACACATGTCACACTATTAAATCATTAGTAAGGCTAATGACAATATTACGTATCATTAAGGCTATATTCAAATACACCAACATGCACTTATATCATTGGAGTGGCTTATATATAATTGTTTGGCCATAAATACTGAGAATAACTATGAATAAACAGATTCAAATGGTGAACAATCCTACTAATACGGATATTTATATATACAGTACATATATAATTGCAAATACATATTGGTATGTGTATATGCACATGTTGATACCTATGTATATACATATATACGTATATATAATTAAAAATAATTATATCTATATATATATATATCATATCTATATATATATCATATATATATATATATATCAGATATACATACAATTAAACGTATGATACCACATATAAACCTAATACAAATGCTATAAAAATCCCCCAGAAGCCACGTCACGTCTCGCCTCTGGCAGCTCGTGGGGCGAGGAGCTTTGTGCCACTTCCAGCCGTGCACAGGCGTCGCACAGCAGCTCCTCGGTTTTTCGTCGGTTGGGCCCAGGGCAAGGTCCTTGGGGACGGTTGGTGGTTTCTTTACCCTCCTGGTGGTTGGTGGTTCCATAGAAATTGTGAATTTTCCTATTTAACATGGTGATTTTCCCATTAAACAGCCACATAACTATGGAAAATCACCATGTTTAATGGGACAATTCACTATTTCTATGGCCATTTTCAATAGCTATGTTAAATTACCAGAGGGTACTTGGACATCCGTGGAAAGTCTTTAGAAATATAGAGCAATCCTTGGAACATGAAACATGTTGGAACATTTTGGAAAAATCCTTGGAACATCTTCGAACATCTGGGAAGTTGTCACTTTGCTAGGGAAACAAAGGAAAATTTAACAATGTTCTGTACTTGAAAAGTTGCTCATCTTCTCGTCAGTCATGGGCAGCAGAGGATTATTTTCCTTCTATCCAAATCCACTATTCATTGTTGAATTTTCTGTTTGAAGGGATAACTCCAAGTTTTCCAGATTTAGACCAATTTCATCATTTTCATCTCCATTCTTCATAGTTGCAATCCCAAGTTCATTCCAAATTTTGCCTGGTACAAATGGTGAACACCTCCATTTTTGATGGTGAAAACCTCGATTTTTCACAGGGTGTCTCCGCTTCCCCCAGTCCCCCGCTAGGTGCCGACGTACCGTGCGCCGAGCGTCGCTGCGCGTCTTGAGGCGCAGGGCCTCCGCCTCCACGGTCCGGAGCTTGGTGCGCTGCAGGGCCGCGCGGATGCCACCCTTTGACATCCTTGGAAAAGGTGCTGGTGCTGCTGGGATTTTCTATGCTTCATGATGATGTTGATCCTACTTGTGCTAAAAGTAGGGAATTTTCGGGAATGGTCCACTGGCTAACTATCAATAATAATAATCCCAGCAACCCCATTCCCATCCATTCCCTACGTTTGGCACCAGTAAGTGATGATGATGGTGATGATGGTGATGATGGTGATGATGATGATGATGATGATGACGATATGTAATATGATATATATATATATACATGTTATTTAATATGTGAGGGGGAGTCGACATATATCTTTAAACCGTCTTCATGCAAACTTAAGAATATTTTTATGCTTCAATTACATAATGGTTTTAAATGGTGTGTTTCTATGTGTAATTAGAGGCTATCGAAAAAAAAACAGAACAAAACATATCGCTAACACACAATAATCGTACGGGTTGACTGTTTTGGTCAACGTCAACGTCGGCAATACACTAGGACTAGCACCATGGAACACATTGGGGCAGGATTGCTGTAGCTCAAGGCTGGCCAACGATCAAGGCCCAGCAACGGCTGTGGAGGATCATCCCAAAAATCACTGGACAATGAGGCTGGTGAAGTCCCTGGTTTTCTCCACCTTTTTTGAGCCCGTTCGAACTTCGTTCATCCTAAGTAGTACCATTTGTATAGAAATCATTGGAAACCACCATGTTTTAGAGGATGAACTATCATGAATTATCTGCTTTCAGGGGCCAACATGTCCATGTTACATCAGACACTACTATTGACCCTGAAAAACGCAATTGTAAAACCACATTTTCCGACCAACATCCACCATTATCAACTGGAAAACAATTGTTCAACAACCATTACTATCCATTACTATGGATTTTTGTACATTTTTGTTACAATCCATGACAATAAAGGTAATTACTATCATTACTATCTATTACTATTACTATATGTTACTATCCACCATATTTTTGTTACACCAAAGGCTACCTCCCGGGCCTCCCATTTGGATCCCCATCTCGGCCACCGGGCCCCTCTTTGGAGCGTAGCAACTCAGCCGTCTGCACCTGACGGAAGCTGCAACGGCAGCGACGGGCAACGGGGCACAACGGGGGTGGTCAACAAAAAATCAGACCCAAACAGGACATGGACGTTTACAATTCATAGATATTCATAGTGTATCATAGTGTGACATTGTAGTTTATTTTTAGATGTATTGTTCAAACTAAACGTTGATATATATATATGGGTGCGAGTCAAACATCGGGTATGGATCGCTCCGCGGTGATCCGTACTATGGATCGTGTGTGCTTACGTAAGGTGCCTGATCCGTACCCTTTCGTAAGGGCTCATCATAGCATACAAACTGTGCTGATACTCCTACTATATATCTCCTACTTGCTATTACTTCTCCTCCTGCTACTGTTGCTGCTAAAACTGCTACCACTGCTAGTACAGGGAGCAGTAACAAAAACAAGCACCAGCAGCAGTAGTGGCAATAGAAGGAGGAGATGCAGTAGCAGTAGAAATAGCAGTAGCAGAAATAGTAGTACTAGTAAAAGTCATAGTAATAATATTAATCTAATGGCAGTAGTAGCAGCAGCTGTAGTTGTACTAGTAGGAGTAGTAGTAGTAGTAGGAGGAGGAGGAGGAGTATTAGTAATAGTAGCAGTAGTAGTAGCAGTAGTAGTAGTATTAGTAGTAGTAGTAGTAGCAGTAGTAGTAGCAGTAGTAGTAGTAGGAGTAGGAGTAGGAGTAGAAGCAGCAGCGGCAGCAGTAGAAGTAGTAATAGAATCGGACTTTCATATTGGCATTTCCTGTGGCGTGATTGGGTTCGGGTATGGATCGGGACACGCTATCTGGGCCGGCTTTCCGGCTATGGCTGTGAAGGAAGAGAGCGGGGTATTTCTAGAACCAGAAGGAATTGTAATCATAGCGCCACTATAGAAGTACAAGAAGCACCTAGTGGAACTAGAACCGGTCTTACTAGCCTCCAAGGTGCACTTGCAGTATTGCTAGTAGCTAGTCAACTAGTTGCATTTGTCCAACTACCAGAAGCACACGGAGGAAGTGAACCAGAACCAGCAGCGGGAGCAGGACCAGCAGGAGCAGCAGCAGAAGCGACAGCAGTAGCAGCAGCTCCTGGGAGGAAGATGACTAGTAGTGGCAGCAGCAGCAGCAGCAGCACGGAGGCAGCGGAGGCAGCGAGCGGAGGCAGCAGTAGAAGCAACGGTAGTAGCAACGTGAGTAGCAGTAAGAAGACCAGAAGCAGTATTAGGATAAAAAGCAGCATTAGGGCCAGCATCAGTCTTTCTTCAACGAGAAAGGGGTACGGATCAGGGGTATGGATCAAGGGTATGGATCGTGCAGTATCATGGGGTATGGATCAAGGTATGGATCGGGGGGTATGGATCGTGTGTGGGTCCGGGGCCTTGATCCATACCTTGTATTTTGACTCGTACCCATATATATATATATATATGTTTAAAGATTGTCATAGATGTTCAAAGAAGTTTATAGTTGATGAAATATGTTAAGACATAGACGGTCATAGTTGTTACACAATAGATGTTATAGATGTCATAGACAAATGTGTCTTACGTGTTTATACTATCAAACCATCGATTGAAACATCAACGATCGAAATTGTGTTGCTGTTCCCCAAGACTGGTGGGCTGGGATTCTTCCTTCTCTTCCTTGTCAGGCCCAGACGGGGAAAAAACATGTTTTTCGGGTATCATCATGACGAAACTGAAACAACATGAGGACTTTCTCAACGCAAGTTCGATCTTTTCATGATTCATTCCATCTTACACAGCAACTGCGCAAGAACACGTACTCCCTCAACCCCTCAACTTTGTATGCACCTTCAACTCCCCACTTTCGCTCAGGATTTTATGGATTTTACTAAGCGTTACCGCATTCTGGCGTCATTCTTGGGATTCCTGTTGATAAATACCCTCTGGTAAACTAACATAACTATGGAAAATCACACATTTTAATGGGAAAATCAACTATTTCTATGGCAATTTTCAATAGCTATGTTAAATTACCAGAGGGTAATCCATACACGGAGCATTTTTGGCGCCAAAAAAAGTTCACCATCCCAGTTCACCTTTAAACTGGCTCAAAGAGCAGACATTTCCGGCAGTATCCCGGTGTTTCATGGTAGTACCCATATATGGTATGTTGTGGTGATATGCCGTCTTCAACTGCTTCATCGTCCATTCCGAGCAAAAGGGCCCTCATTATCCCGCTGTTCCATATAAAAATGGCTACTTTGGCAGGCTGAACCATTGGCTGGGGCCTCAGAGTCGCTCGGCGCCACTTCAATTCAACCATATCCTCAGAGTTCGGTGCCGTTGGAGCCAGCCGTGCAGCAATTTTGTCATTCGGTGTCACTTGCATGTCAGTGGGCAATTCCTCGCATGCCAATTCTGCCCCATGTACAGAACACATGGTCCTGCTTTGTGGACACAGTCGCCAAGAAATTCCTGACACGCGTGGCATCATCATTTCGATGTGCGTTGAAGAGCACGACCAGCACTGAACCACTTGACTGACTGTGGCGCTTGATAGCGCTTGTGAAGTGACACTTCACTTTCGGCATGGGTCGCTGCTGAACCACTCCGAAGGCGCTCCCCTCAAAGAATTGAGGAATCTCAGGTGCCTCCTGCGGCTGGTCGCTTGATGATCCCGGTCGGCCATCTGACACAGCCGCAGGTGGAGGCTGCTGAGGAGTTGCCTCAACCACTCCGAAGGCGCTCCCCTCAAAGAATGAAGCGGGGTATGTCCCACTTTCAGACACACCCAAATTTCAATGATGATACTAAGTTGGTTAGTGTTTGTATTCATATCCCATAATATTCACATTGATATATATATATATATATATTTATGACTTTCCTACTATATTCTGATTTTTCATATTAAGTTGGTTATATATCAATTATATCCCAATACATCCCAATACATCCCAATACATATCCCATGACATATCCCATGAATATCCCTATCTATATATATATATAGATGATGTGCAATTTTCGATGATTTCGCCATTTATAGATGATTCTCCCAATAATATTCCATTCATATTCCATAATCTCCCATTCATATCCCATATTGCAGATGTTTTCCCATCATATCCCATCATATGTATTCATATGTACCATTAAGTTGCTTCATCAACAGCTACCATCCAACCATTCCAAAATCAAAATGTGTTTTTCCCACGTAATATCCCGTAGTACCCTTATCAACACCTATTAACTTTAGTGAGATGAACATCAATTTACCAGCTATTTTGGTTTTGCTATTGGGGGTTCAGGGTTTTGACACATAGCCATGTATATACCCTCTGGTAAACTAACATAACTATGGAAAATCACAATTTTTAATGGGAAAATCAACTATTTCTATGGCCATTTTCAATAGCTTTTTGTATGTTTACCAGAGGGTATACTCCACATGTTTAGTTTCCCCCAAGGCCTCCGGCTCCGGCGTGGAGTGCAGCAAGGCGCCCAGCTTCCGGTCCAGGCCTTGGTCCGACAGCTGGGACGTTGAAGCAGTGAACGTCACCCATTTCCATGGGAAAACAAAGGGGGATTCAACATGATGAAACCGGTGAAATATATGGTGGATTGTGGGGATTTGATGGGATTTGATGGGATTTGAGCATGGAACATCGGAGATAGATATAGAATTCTATAGATCTCTCAAAAGTTGCAAGACTTCAAGAGGGAATGTTGATGATTCACCATGTCCACCCTGGACACCCCAAGTGAAAGTATCCATCCAAAGCATGCGTTACGATTAGTTACCCTCTGGTCTGGTAAGCTAACATAAGTATGGTAAATCATAATTTTTAATGGACAAATCCACTAATGGGCCATTTTCAATAGCTATGCTAGTTTACCAGAGGGTAAGTGATGTTATTACTACAAAAAGGTATTTTTAGGATGATCCAAATTATCTTGGATCAGCTAGTGTGATCTTCTTACTACGTATTACTGTTAGGATCTAATTATTGAGATGATTGGGAATCATCCGTGATGCGTCGGGGTATACACAAGAGTAAACCACTACTTGACTACTTGTTTTGTTATGCATGCGGCATACTAACAATACCTTGATGCTCATTTGACCCATAAACATGTGGGTGAAAATGTCCGTGAAGAATATGGGGTCAACTTGGCGATCCTTCTGCTTTTCTGTTTAAACTCAAGGTCTAGGTACGGTAAATGTAAAAAAAACATGAGGAAACCTGAGGAAGATGATTTCCGTTTCTGAAATAGAACTGGAGGCTATTGTTGAAAAATATGATAATGCAAAAAAAACAGCTGTTGCCGGAGTCAGCGTGATCATTCACAATCAAAGAGAGGAAGTGAGGGGTATCTGCCGGAATTTCCCTATATTCCCTATGCAATATTATGCAATTCCGAAGGAACCAGATGCATCAAGTAAGTAGGTTCGTTTGAATCAAGAAACTTGCGCTTGCACCACTGAGCGAACAGAGTTCAACAGACGCATCTGCTCTCACCTGTTCGACGCAGTGGCCTTTGTTTCGCCATTTAATTTTTGCTCATAGAGCAACTGGATATCAACTTCGCGGGGATGTCTCGCTTCCACCTGCCGCAGCAGAACTCTGCCAGCCACGACGCTCCACGTTCTCCGATCGTCACCGTCCAGTGCTTCAAGGGATGGATTTTTCAAGGTGAGGCCGTAGGACCCATAGGAAAAATTATGATTTCACCGACACAAATGGAGGATTTCATGGGATTTCTAGCTTCCTATCAAGGTTTGCTGAAGGTGATGTTGAAAGGGAAAGTGGCGATGTTGGAATTCGGAAGCTATCTTATAAGGCATCATAAAAAGGAGAATTGGTGTTTGACTGTTTGACTGTGCAAATGTCCAAAAACTGACTTGGAGGTTCACCCACTTTCTGCGCAAAACTGCCCAGCCACTGACCACTACATTCTAACTTCTCAAAAGGTGGCAAAGGTTCCAAATAAAATATATATCTATATGTATGTATATATATATATGAAATTTAGTATTATTTAGTATTTAATCTAGTATTGTGGTTTTCTGAAGATGGGGTATACTACCAAAGTGGCAACTTTATATAGGGAAAATGATGATTAAGGAACAGATTTTGGGGTACCCCATATTGAATCCCAATAGAAGCCCTGATTTAGTATTGGATCTGTTCATTTTGGGTCTTGGAGGGATATTTCATATGCACCTCCTCTCCTTCAGCAGCTGACATCGCAAGGTGGAAGGAATCAACTCGTACTTCCACTGGCGTTTCACCTGGGAGAAAGGGCTCGAAAAGTGAGTTGAAGAGCGCCTGGAATGGGGCTACCCCTTAAAATGGATGGTTGATAGTGAAAAATCCTAGAATGGATGATTTTTGGGTACCCCCCAATTTGGGAAACCTCCAAATCGTTCATATGTATGTGCATATATATATATATTTTACTTGTATATATATATTTATATATAAATTGTATGTATATATATATATATACATGTATAAATCGCCTATACTGGGGGGTTCATCCGGCTCAGAAAGTGAGATGTATGTGGGGGTACAACTGAAGTGCTGTGAGCAGAGCCAGTCCACTCATTATACTTCAATTAGCAAGTATTCAGGTGTCCACTCTTGCTGAAGAGCCAGGGTTTACTAATAGGGTCTGGTATCCCTTATCACCGTATATGGTTCATATAATCTGATTATGTGCCTGATTCTAGTCTATGATAAATTTATATAATCAGACTCTGACTATATATATATATAAATATTATTTGCATTTATTTACTATCAATGGATATATATATATATATCTCTCTCTCTCATATCTGCTTATATTCAGCACCTGTTAGCCATTGGCTGCTTATTCCAATGGAACTTGTTGGGCTCAGCAAAACAATCGTATTGTGGGTCGTCTGGGTGATGGAAATGTCCGAATACCCAATAGCATTGACATTTTGGACTAACATATTGTAGATGTAAGTGCATATACATATATAATTATATATATATAGTAATTAGTGTTTTTATATTGTATCTTTGTTGGGCATTCCTGTCATTCCTGTGTAGGTGTGTTGCTTAAATCAACATGTTGGTTGACAAAATCTCAGTTTATATTGGTCAAATGCACATGAAACCCCATTTTCCAGGCGCTCCATCTTCGACCAACATGGGTTAGTCCAATCATGTACAAACTATGTCTATTTCAAGAAAACATCATGATAAACATCTGATAAACCATCAACATTTGGGGTGTTCCGGTGCTCCTGGAATGATTCACACTTGAAAAAAAACCTAGCTATCCTCATTAAAACATGACTTGTCCCATAGTTTCCCATTAGTTTACCATAATTGTCTCCATAATTTTCCCATAGTTTCCATAGTTTCCCATGTTTTTTCTCATAGTTTTCCCGTTTTTTTCCATCTTCTGGTCCCGCTGTGAAATTCGCAGCGCGTCGTCGCGTCGTCGCACCGTTGAAGCATCGAGTGGCCAAGGCTAAAGCCTGTCGAGCCCAGGACCTGCAACTGCTCACCTTGGTGGGTAGAAACAGGGAGAAGTATGGGACTTAACAAACCCCATATAATATTAGTATGTTATAGTATGTTAAAATATGTTATAGTATGTTATAGTATGTGATATTCTGTTATAATATGTTATAGTTTGTTGTAGTATGTTATAACATGTTATAGTATGTTATAGTATGTTGTAGTATGCTATTGTATGTTCCAGTATGTTATAGAATGTCATATTTTGATATAGTATGTCATAGTATGTTATAGTATGAAATAGTTTGCTATAGTTTGTTACAGTATGTTATAGTATGTTATAGTCTGCTTTAGTATGTTATAGTATGTTATAGTATGTTATAGTATGTGATAGCCTGTTATAGTATGTCATAGTTTGTTTATAGAATGTCATAGTATGTGGTAGTATGATATAGTTTGTTATAGTTTGTTATAGTTTGTTCTAATCTGTTGTAGTATGTTATAGTATGTTATAGTATGTGATATTCTGTGATAATATATTATAGTTTGTTGTAGTATGTTATAACATGTTATAGTATGGTAGAGTAGGTTATAGTATGATATAGTTTGTTTTAGTATGTTATAGTATGCTATATTACGTTGTAAGTTGTAATATTATACTATAGATTGTAATAGTAAAGAATCTATATATAGACATGTCCATACCAGTAGTAATTTGAATGGGATTAAGTATGGGACTTAGGCATAGGGACGTAAAAATAGGGACTTATTCACTGGGATCTCCAGCATCCTGAAGCACTGAAACACTGCGAGTTGCAAGGTCATTCTGGTATCACACAATCAGCTCCATGATGCTGCGAGCAACATCAAACCAAGTAACGCTCTTGTTCTCAGCAGAAGAGGCATGCTGTGCAGGACGTTTCGCAGCTGTCTTTTGTCTGGCTCCGCTCGAGGACAGCCGTGCCAACTTAGCCGTCCGGAGCTGCGCAACAACCAACAACCAACAACCAACAACCAACAAACAACAACCAACAACCAACAAACAACAAACAACAACCAACAACCAACAACCAACAACCAACAACCAACAACCAACAACCAACAACCAACAACCAACAAACAACAAACAACAAACAACAAACAACAACCAACAACCAACAACCAACAACCAACAACCAACAACCAACAAGAACAAGAACAAGAACAAGAACAAGAACAAGAACAAGAACAAGAACAACAACAACAACAACAACAACAACAACAGCAACCAGCCTGGCCTCCATATGCTGCATTGTCCACGTGCCACCATAATGGCGTTTGAATGGGCGCATACGCCCCTCGCTCCCGCCGCTTCATGATGGAGAGCAAAATCAATTCCGTCCATTGTCTCTCGTGTGAAAACCAACTACACCAAAATGATCTGCGCCAAAGTGATCTGATGCTTTTCCATGTGGTTTGAAGATGGTTTGACCAGTTCATGAGCATTTCATCCCTCTCGGGAAGAGGGCTGCTGGCACGATTCCTTCCACAGCTGAAATGCTTGTTTGGCAACAGCCTGGACAAGCGCACACAAATGGCCATGTTTATATTTTTTTAATATACTAATATTCTTAACCCCTATCAAAATGGTTTGGAATTCCAAATTTTGGACAGTCCTGAAGAAATGAGAAAAACAGAAGAATACCATTCCACACTCTTATTTGATCGACTTCGACTAGTGAAAGCGAAATTGAAACATGAACCTTTCAGAGGACTTCCTCGGGTTTCAGCTGTGCAATGTGGCAAAACATTGCAAAACTATATATTTAATTGAATAGATAAGTGAATTGACCGAACCATACGTGAATGTTTGAAATATGAAACATTCAAAGCATGCAATGATTGATGTGACTATATAAATGTTGAAATGGCCTTGAATTAGATCGAACATTTGGGTCGAAATTGAATTGCCCTGACATGTATGGTGGAATACAAAATGCCTTCGCTGCGCTGTATTTTTGATCCACCTTCATTTAACGTTTGATACATGTTTTCTTGAACATGCGGATCTAACCTATCCGTTGCGATCGAAACTTTGGAATCTACAGCATATGGGACGCAAAAAAGTGCCCGACACAGACACTTACATGGTTCGCCTACACCACTTACCCTCTGGTAAACTAACATAGTTTTCGAAAATGGGCCATTTATAGATGATTCACCGTGATTTACCTTAAAAAAAACACGGTGATTTTGCAGTTCGCTATGTTACATTCCCTGAAGGTAAACATTGTTCAGCCCCTCTGACCGGCCCGGCCTTCGAGCCGATTTCATCCACCAACAGCGCCTCCAACAAGGTGGGCCACAATGCCACCGCGCCCGGCAGCAGAAGTCGCTCCACCTATCGGCGGTGGGAGACCCAGAGTCCGGTGTGCACTTCAGGTACACACAAATGTGGATATTTGTAAATTATATATACATATTATATATATATATTATTATTATTATTTAAAATATCAACATATGCGCATGAGAAACAAACAGTTGAACCGTATTAAAGCAACAGCAGCTACTGTGGTATATCAAAATTGCGTTCGTACATGTTTCACTTGCTTTCAGTCGCAAAAAAAAAATATATGGCATGACATCATTCGCCATGGCACCTGTCGACTGTTAACACCATACAATTGCTCATTGCTTGTGCTTCCAGCTACAAATAGGTACACTCGCGCATTTTTGATGCATTTTTTCCAGCACTGACACACATGGAAGCTAAAGCATGCAACTTCATGCCCGTTTGGACTACAGGGACCCAGCGTGCCCACAAGCGTTGCAACGTGAAAGGCGCACAAGTGCAGCGCGTGATTTGTCCAGCGCAAGGAAAAATCCTTTACTTTGAGCGATCCATGGAACATATTCTGACATTCTATCATTCTATCTCAGATTTTTTTTCTGCCATACCCTCTGACATTCTATTTGACATTCTTTCTGGCATTCAATCCGTCATCTATTCCGGCATACTTTCTGGCATATATTCTGACGTTCTTTCTGGCATTCTATTCTGGCATGTATGGCATTCTATCAGGCATTCTGTCTGGCATTCTATCTCACAGGAGGAGGGAGAAGAGGAAGAAGAAGAGGAGCCGCACCTTTGTTGAAATCTAGGGCCCTCATATGGCAGGTGGGGAACAAATCCCTAAACTGGGTAGCTGGCGTTGAGACCGCAGCTTTTCAAAGTGAATCATAGTTATGCACACAAAAAACACGCCCATGCGTGCGTCTTTAAAATTTTGAAAGCTGACGCGCTTCAAGGCCCAAGGGGCTGATGCTTGCTGTCCGCAACGCGAAGCACGTGAGTCGTGCACAGATGAAGAAAGCTCCTTCATAGCATTGCTCCTGGAATGACATGAAATGGCAGCACACAACATCTAAGGCTAAGTCAACGCAGCCAATACTTGCCTCAAGCATGGCTTGTCATTTCAATCGGCAAAATGCATTTGAATGGTATGGAGAAGTCCAGCAAATCAGCAACTTAAGCTCTGAAAGGTTGACTCGCATTGAAACAAGTTAAGATACTGGTTGAGCATCATTTTGCGATAACAGTGTATTTGGTCGCAAATACCACATCATCAAACGCAGCCAAACATTTGTCGTATATCATACATATACCATACCATTCCATTGAACAATATGCAAATATATCCACCTTATATCCTCATTATGGCCCGTAAACCTCCTTTGTTTGCTGGTCAAACCCTGAGTCCGGGCAACAAAGAAGGCCAGGACGCTCTCTCAGTCGTGTGACCGCATGTTTGTTCAACAAGTTCTGCTCGCACATTCGCACAACCCATGCATGTTTTCTTTTCACACAAACACTGTGCTCGATATTTTGAAAATAGATTTGCTTATCAATGTCTAAAAAAGGTTAAATGAAATTAAACTCGATTAGACTTGAAACAGCAAATACTGTAGAATTTTGTCCGATTAATCAATCAAGAAACCTTAATGTTTCATTATACTATGGGTGATCTGAAAGAAGAATCTATGACGACAAGACACACATATATATATATATGTATTAATTTTACGTACAATCATATACATATACTGTACGTAAAATCATATTATACTATATACACTATACATATGTATGTTAAGAACTATATACACAACTAGCAATTTCAAAAACAGTTGCAGAAGGGCTTCCTGCGGCTATGGACACGTCAGGCCATAAACCAGCTGACCCTTTGTTTTTTTTGACCCGCGCAATTTGTGGTGGTTGGTAGCATCCAAACCCTTGGGGAACATGGCGAACATGGCCCACCCCCTTTTTTTGCAGGCATGTCCTTTGGCAAATAATGGAGTGGGTGTCCACTTCTTACCTTTGAACTTTAAATGGTTCATGGCTTTGTCTGCAAATAGGGTACAAGTTCCTCTAATGTTACAAAATTATCATGACTTGTGTCCCATATCTTAACTGGGCAAAACATGGACTTGAACCAAATTTGGTAAACGCGATATGCCTAAGTCAAGCTAATTCTAAACTATACTCTATTTCAAACATTCTTTGTTGCGTATTCTCAATGCTTCCTCATATCTGTGGTTATTTAATGGAAAGAAGACGAAACAAACGACGCATCATTGGACCAACCATGGTCAATCTTCAAGAAACTCTGCAAGATAATATACGTTTCCTTGCTAGTTTGGACCACCACCAGTGATCGCAAACAAAATGACAGCGCCACACTATCCACCAACGGTTTACACTTTTTTTGATCACCAAATTGATCAAATCATCCCTTTTGTTGGAAAACAAAAACATGTAAACAAAAACCCTTCCAATTGCTTTCCCAGCCATCCAAACGAATCCAAACAGCTACAGCTCCCCAGCGGAAGGGCACCAGGCATTGCAAAGATCGGCTTAACGCGCTTGGCACCGCATCCATGTCGACGCCTTCCATGTTCAGCTGTGAAACGAGTCCAACGCAAATGTGCTGGAATGTTATCAAGTATGTAAGTGGCAACATCTGCGCGCAAATACGAATGTTGTAGGGTAACCAATTTAGAGCTATAAGCTGGTAGGTTTATACAATATACACGTTTACATGTTGTTTCGAAATATGTATGTGTTAAAAGAAAATATTGGCCAGTCTACCTACCTACCTACCTACCTACCTACCTACATATCTATCGACCCATCCATCCATTTATCTTATCTATTCGAGCTATCTATCTTTCTATTGGCTACTCCCCGCACTCGCCGGAAGCCGATCCTGACATGGCCTCGCTGTCATATCAATATGATGCCCCTATACTTAGCGCTGTAAAAACCACCACTTGTTGGGTTTCAACTAGTAAAAAAAAGAGGACATTGATGATGTCTACTTGACTTATCTGAGCTAAGTTGATAAACAGAACTACTAAACTAAGCAGGTTTTGCCTTAGACGAACGTTAGATAATAGGGCGAAACGTTTGACGTTTCGGGGGGCACGGCACGTTTTATTGGGGCTGCATCCTTGGCTGGTGAACATTTGAGGAACTCATAAGCATCCAATGCATCCAAGTATTCTATGGTATCAATAAGTCCCACTCCACAAAGAACAACACGTTTTTGTGATCTTTTCTTGATTATAACTATGGTTTATGGTAACATAACTTAGAGATCTTAGAGATATACCTATCAAAATTAAATTGGATATTGACCAGACGTATCACTTCTTCCAGAGAACAACCATAGGTATGGACTATGACGTATCTACCATAGACCATAGTTTATTGGAGTGATGTTTTTACCACCTGAACGCCATCGAATGGCCAATCTGAATACCCAGCAAGACACATTTTGGCTGTTGAGTAAATGTATCATATGTATGAATATGTCACAATAAATCAAAAAATATCATAATAGAAATCGTAACATGTATACAGTATATATATAGTTACATGTATATATATATATGGAGTCTAAGATGTATTCTCCACAATTTGGCGGTTTCCAACTTGTCTATCTATTTGGAGGCTCTTGTATGTACACACATTGATGTAAATCTATATATATATATAGTAACCCCCAAAAAAAGACACAGAACAGTGATTCACCAGCCATCTGATAGATATGTATAAATCTGTATAATTATAAGTATACAGTAGGCATGCAGGCGTACACGCTCAGCTCAAGTGCAGTCGTTGTGGTGTCTGTACTCCTGCAGGCTGCACCTGCAGGAGCAGTGCCACTGAAGGTGCACAGCGGAGAGCCGCACTCACAGCCACGCACAGTCAGTCAGAGCCAAGCTCAGAAGGGTAGCGGTGAGAAGGGCAGCACCAGACCAAGTACTCAGAACAAGGAGCCGCACTCCAGGGTCCAAGCACACAGCCATGGGTTGTTCAGTGGTGCAGGAGCCAGCAGCCCAAGTCACCACCTAGCCCTGTAGGCCGTAGGCTGAGACAGCGTGCCAGGGCAAGGGCATCGGTGAGATGTAGTCATCCGCAGACTTCAGTCTTGCTTCTTCGGCCTAGTCTGCTTGTTCTTGGGAAGCAGCTTCTCAGCCTGCCCCCCTCTCTTCTTGACTCCAAGAAGGATCTTGTGTCCACTGGTGTTGTCCTTGCCCCAGTGGTAGTAGAGTGGTGCATAATTAAACACATATATAATTATAACTATATATATATACACTGTATATATATATATTGTATATATATAATATTATAGATAACTGGTGCTACTTTAATATCTGATACATATTGCCAATAGAAGTGATCCCACGATTTTTCTCTGCCGCCTGGTCGCTTGCCCTTCAGCAACTCGCCCCGCAAGGCCGGGACCTGCGCACGCTGCTAGCGGCGACTCCACGGAGCTCTGGGGGTCGTTACCAGAACTTGACCACGGGGAAAAACCGAACTCCAATAGCTATGGTTAATCTATGGTTAATATATGGATAATCTATGGTTAATCTATGGTTAATATATGGTTAATATATGGTTTATGGTTAATAGTGATCATAGTGATCATAGTTTGAAACCAACTACCCTCTGGTAAACTAACATAGCTATGAAAAATCATCATTGTTAATGGGAAAACTCACTATAAATGTCCATTTTCAATGTGCGGCCCCCCAGTGATGTTAGTTGGTTCACAAAAGCCCCAGTAACTAGTTAGTTATTTGCGTACCATAAACCATAGTTATTGGAGTTATAAACCAACTTAGATTAGCTATGGCCTATGGATGCCTATGGATGCCTGTGGTAGGTATATCTATAGAATCCAAGGGTATGATTCATCGATTTTTTTCGTGGTCTATGATTGGAAGATATTGGATCATCTATACTTAATGGGGTGCCCAAGGTTTCAGGAAGATCAAAGAGCCGAAAACGATGGTGCTCCGCCGAGCCAACTGGGATAACTATAATCACTGGTTAATCTATGGTTAATCTATGGTTAATCTATGGTTAATCTATGGTTAATCTATGGTTAATCTATGGTTAATCTATGGTTAATCTATGGTTAATATATGGATAATCTATGGTTAATATATGGTTAATATATGGATAATCTATGGTTAATATATGGATAATCTATGGTTTATGGTTAATAGTGATCATAGTGATCATAGTTTGAAACCAAGTACCCTCTGGTAAACTAACATAGCTATGAAAAATCATCATTGTTAATGGGAAAACTCACTATAAATGTCCATTTTCAATGTGCGGCCCCCCAGTGATGTTAGTTGGTTCACAAAAGCCCCGACCCCCATTCTAACACGGGTTTGGAAACTGGGGGCCCCTTCTAAGTTTTAATCCGGTACTATATTCAAAAAGCTTTGAAAGCACAGCGCAATCGCACTCTCATGCCAAAAAGTTTGGCCCTTTTTCACTCTTTCCCTCGAAATCCCAGCGTTTTGTTTTCTCTTGGAACGGTCCTGTATCCCTTCCTGCGCACAAGTTTGGATTCCAAAATATTGAAATGGGTGGTTTTGGAATGATTTACTGCCTTAATTTACATTGAAATGGGCGCCGAATCTCTGAACAACAGGGCAAAAACCCCTGAAATGTCTGCATCAAAAGGTATCCAAAAGAACAAGTGAAGCATGTCAAAATAGAAAAGGACCTGACACGCATTCTAAGTTAACATCTGCAAGAGCCATTTATCGAAAAAATACAGTCAAAAAGTTGCGGGAGCACATATTTCTATATTTTGCCGCTACTTTTTCCAGTGGGTACGGTTCCAAAATGGCATTCTAAGTTTCGGTCCGTCACTATAATATTCCATAGATCTATGGTTTATTTCATTGGGATGTGTTTATCGGTAAAAAAAACATCGTTCCACTTCAATCCGCAATGCTTTTCCAAGTAAAAACCCATCAAACACACATCACTTTTCCAAGGTTTTTCGCATCCTTTTCCCATCCTTTTCAGTGATAAATGGCGCGCCTTCGCGCAGCTGTCCAGCAGCAACTCCAGGGCTTGGCTTCGGAGCAAGGCCTATCAACTCCACAGGTTATCATGGATCCAGGATATCAATCCAGGCATGGTGCACCATGTTTGTTCGCCATTTTTTTTCGTGGAGTTTTCCTGATCACTGAATTCGGCTTTATCTGGTTGGTGGTTTCAACCTACCCCTCTGAAAAATGATGGAGTGAAAGTCAGTTGGGATGATTATTCCATTCCCAATATGATGGGGAAAAAATAATCCAGATGTTCCAAAGCACCAACCAGTTTATCATGGCTTCATCGAATGAATAACATGACCAAATGATCGAACATGTGCAATGCGGATTGATCAAGTCGACTGGGGCAATGAGGGATCCCCGCTGGATGGTTTTTCATGGCACATCCGTCACGATGATTTGGGTACCTGGATTTGAGGAAACTGCCATTTTTCAAATGAATGGGTTTAAGGGAATATTTACAGGAACGCCCCATATTTAATGGGAACATCTCTGGTTTCGTGTAAATTTTCCCTTAAACCAATCCATTGAATTTTAGACAATCTGGAAACCGCAGTTTTACTGGAAAAAGATAGTGGACATTCGTTGATTCGTTGGATAATTGATGATTTCCACTAATGATTCTTCGCAGTTTTAATGGCCATGATAATTAATCATTAATGGAGAAAAATAGTATATCAACCAACAATCATGGGGATAGCAATGGATATCCTAGGTATAGTGGAGCTAATTAAACACGATTCAAAGTTTTTTTCAACCATAACATAGGTTTTTTTCAAGCATAACATAATTGGGATTTAATTTCCCATTAAAAATCCAAGGGATTGTGATTCATCGCAAATTTGTTGGAAACCAATGATTAATGGAGTTGACAGCTAATTGATCATGATATTTGATTCATCGTAACTTAACAAATGAAAAAAACAAACATAATGATGGAGAAACCGTGATGTCCCTAGGAGAATGATATACATATGGTGGGTTTAAACTTAAATTTGGAGTGACTTAATCATTCAATTGTCAGCCATATTTGTCCATCATAATCAATCCACAAATCTACAAACAATGGACACTTGCGATTTGTTTTACAAGACACGTGGAACATATGCATTTAAACCGAATAAACTGATGTTTAGCCAACAAACATGTCGGGTTAAACCACAAAAACTTGGTGTGTGGTTTCCATGGAGACAACTCTACACACCATCTGTTCTCTCGATTAGTTCATACTTCATCAACCTGAGATCTTGAACCATTTGGGGATCCTCCGTTGGATGAAATGGTGACAACAAGCTGTATTGGACTGGACGGATATGCAATGAATAGGACATGGAGAGCGCTTTTTGGTGCGTAAGAGACAAACAACACACATTCATGAAACCAATCAACAGGGACAGAATCAACATAATTTAGAATAAACATACATAAAAAACACATGACAATCAACAGAACCCCAATGTGTTTTCATGTTTTTTCAATGGAATCAACATAACACATGAAAAACACATGAAAACACATTGGGTTTTGACCAACATAACAAATGGTGTGTTCAACACCTGGGATGAAATCAGAAGGATTCAACCCATTGTCATGCGAGCTAGGACGGATATATATATATATATATGTGTGTGTTCTATCATATACACATATACACATGTACGTAATTGTACGTATGTGTGTTCTATCATATACATATTGCATGTATGTGTAATGTAAAATGGTAACATCCCAGCTGTTGTATCCCTTTGTTGGTTCATATGATCTATGAACCTTGCGCCTGATAGAACGACAACGGCTCAGCCTCAGGTACCAGCCCCAAATATAGGGGGGTTCCTAAAATTGGGGATACCCTTGAAATGGATGATTGGGGATATAATATGATATAATATATACCAACATATACCAACCCTGATTTTAGGACACCTCCATATTTTCAGCTATTCTCCAGAATGAATTCGATTCTTGAAACACATCAATTTGCCGAACTGGATCCGCTCAGGTTCTGGATCATCCGCTTAGAGGCCACCGCCAGGGAACCACCAAACATTATGAGACCATTTCCTACGGTCACCATTCAAAAACTCGCAGTCAACTATATGATAACGTGGCTTTTCCACTATTTGTCCGATATGTTCCCCATATTTTCCAGAATTCTCAAATATTTCCTCATGCTTTTCTCCATAGTTTCCCATTATTTGCCATCAAACACACACTTTTTGGGAACAATTGTCCCAGCGTCCCGGATTTAAGGCCCAAACCAAGCCATGGTCACCTCCAGACATCCCGACTCAAAAACGGAGTTGGAGGATTAGTTTTGTCTCCATGTTTGTCTCCATTGAACACCACCTGGTTCCCAGATATGTGGTAAATCCATGTAAATCCCCTACTCAATGATACTACCCTCTGGTAAACACATAAAAAACTATTGAAAATGTCCATAGAAATGGTTGATTTTCCCATTCAAAATGGTGATTTTCCATGGTTATTTTAGTTTACCAGAGGGTACCCCATATTTTTCATGGCTTTTCCCCATTTCCAGGACCAGGACTCAGGCCGTTTGAGCAATGCTCGTTGGTTGAGGATTTGGGGGGAGCCCCGATTGCGATCATCCCCAAGATATTGGTTAGTGTATGTTAATGTATGTTAGAATAATCCCCTAAAATCATCCGCCAAAAATAACATGAGCATTCCTCAAAATTCATGATCTGCATTCTTTGATGTTTACTTTTCAATTTGCTGGTTCAATCCTACTTTGTGGCTCACCCCACTTGGTGAGTGGGTCATGTTATAACCCCACATACGAGTACTGGGGTGAGCCACCTACAGTAGTACTTTGCTGTTGAGCCCAGCCCATTGTTCATCAAATCCACCGCTCAGCGGTGTTCCCTTTAGCCTCTGTCATTTTTCTAGAGTGATTGGCTAAGAATGGGATTCCTATTAGAGATGATGATGATGATGATGATGATGATGATGATGATGATGATGAGAATACTCCTCAATACCTAAAGGGTAGTACAACACCCTATTATCATCAACCATCAGGGGCTCACTTGGTACTTTCACATATAGTTCTGTTTGGTTTTGTAGGTTGCGTTGGGTTTAATTATAATATCCTGCAATCCTACGTGGGCCATCAACAATCACCCAAATTACGGATTTTACCATCATTTTGTACCCACCAATTTGGTGAGCCATCTGTAAATGAGTGCATTTCCGCATTTCCTTTTAGATGGAGCCTACATTCAAATGCGTTCAATGCCCTTCAATACAACATATAGATTACAAAATAATCCTGTTGGACTACTTTTTTGGGGTACCCCTAATTTCAGGACCTCCCTGCTGATCATCCCATCGTAACCGATTTGAGTGGTCATGGGGCTGCAATTCCCGATAAGACTGGGGGTTCGGGGACTTATGTTCACCACAGTGAGCCATGGAAAAAAGTGGGTAAATGCTGGAAGGATCATTCAACTGGGACACTATGCATCTCATAAAAACCATATCCTCCTCTTTCAAAGCTATGAAATCATCATTTTTCCACATGACATCACTGGTTGGTGGATTGAGAACCCCTCTGAAAAATATGAGTTCGTCAGTTGGGAGTATTATTCCCAATATATGGAAATTTCAACATGTTCCAAACCACCAGCCACAAATCACCAGCATTTTCCTCTGAAATCACGGTGATCTCCCTATGGCTCCTACGCTGACCGTGCCTGGCATGCCCAGGGAAAAGGCGCCCTGGCCGCTGTCTGCTCGCTCCACCTAGGGCTTAATCAATATGGCAACAAGGCTAGTGTTTTTTTGGGCTTTGACTTAACTTATATATATATACACATAATAATACGTATGTGAATCTGTATACTGTATTTATATATATATACACATGTTGTTACATGTTGTAACATGTTGTGAGGTAAACACCAGGTGATTTTGAGAGTATTTCAATCCATCCAGTCGGTTTAGCCAATTATCTTGTCGTAGTCCATATGTTCAAAATTATATCCTGTAACAACATGAAACAAAAGCTCATACACTGTCATACTTTCATAATCATGTCGCTGTCATGAAATATCCAATCATGTCCGGAATCATTTCCGGAATCATTTCCATATCAAACACCATTAAACACCATTAAACACCATTAAACCACCATTAAACCACCACGTTCTCAGCATCTTCCGAACTGCGAGACAGCTGAACCGCTCCGACACCTGGGGCTCCAGGCCCATTTGCTGACCAACTCTGCTGCCTGCTGCGGGGCTGTCAGCTTTCGCGCCTGCCCACAGGACCGGTTGCTGGAGGGATGAGATTTTGATTCAATGGATTGGTTTAAGGGAAAATCTACAGGAAACCATGGTTTTTACCATCAAATATAGGGGTTTCCTGTAAACTTTCCCATCATCCAATTCTGTGATTGATATGTCCCGTTGTTTTTCGATGTTTTGTTAAAACGACTACTTACGGGCGACCTCACCTACTGTTTTCGTTTCTATTATTTTGAATATTTTGGAGGTGACTTCCTGTTTTTCATGGTGGGGACCACTGTGATGGTTAAAGCAACAAAATTGACCAGCACAAATGAAGTGTATAAGGCCATCATGAGTTTTGGGGTGGGAGCAATATGAACGGAATTGCAAATTTGATTTCCATGATTAGTACATATATATATATACATACATACATATTATATACAATCATATATATATATATATAGTTATATACATACATACATATTATATACAATCATATATATATAGTTATATATACATTAATATGCTATTAATACCTCTCCATAAATTGCAATGATTCACCAACCTGCAACATTAGATCATCTAAGGTTCGTTCGGTTAGGATATGCTCTATGGATCATAGTCAACTTCTGGGATCACTGAAAACTCACGATTTTATTCGCATCAACGGCTTTTGTTTCTTGATTTCAAGTGTCTGTGATTGACACATGTTGAAATTTCAGCCATTGTTGATAGATACCATCTGGTTATGACTAACATAGCCATGGAAAATCACCATTTGTAATAGGTAAACAATCTATAAATGGGTCATTTTCCATGGCTATGTTAAATAACCAGAGGGTAAATCAGTAAGCATCAGCAACCCATCAAAACCCGAGTTGGTCAACAAACATGTTAACATTCCCATCATGTATACCGCAACCGTCAAAAAACAAAACATCCCGTTGCTGATCATTGAATTTTACATACAGTTATATAGAAGAATCAATTAAGCCATGAAACAAACCTGTATCTTATCCAATTGGTTGGGATCCCTATTGCGGCAATCCTTATTATTTTTGAAGCAACCCCATATAGATAGAAGCATTGACATCATCTATATGCATATGTATATATATGTATATACATACATACGTATATATATATATATATATATATATATATATATTGCAATTGGAGCAATTGGTAGAAGCCCTGCTGACCCTGATGATTGATGTAGATCGTCTGTATTGAAAAGCCCCTTCCAGAGTGATTCACTGATGCTGTTATGTAATCCAGATGGAACCCTCTCTAAAGCTCACACAGCAGGCAGTCTACTTCTTTTGTCGCCAAAACTGAGAATTCCAGGTGCCGGCGTAGCCGAACACCCTGTCGGCGAAGCAGAACACACTTCGAAACGGATGCAGCTGCAAATGCCAGGTCGGGCGGCCTCGCCCCTCAAGCAAATGGAGGTGAACCCGGTCACCTATGGCTCAAGATGGAACCCTTTCCCTCCCGCCAACAGTGGCTCGCCTAAGCCGAAATCTAAAGGACATTGATTGGTTTCACCTGAGATACACTGGCGCTTGGAGGGAACGTGACATGTGGACTGCAAGATTTGGTGGAATTCACACTCGTTAAAAATTTTCTGTTTTTTTCTTTTGGGAAAATTAAAGGTGAAAGTGACTGGTGGCATTGAAAGGTTATATCTCAAGTATCTGTTGCTTCTTTGGATTGGTTCAACCACTTGATTCTGTCCTTGGATTTTGCTCGTTCTTTCAGCAATGCGTCCTCATCACATAACCGGTATACCCCCATTTTTAGGGTTTCACGAAGAAAACTTGCTTCCATTGATTTTGTGAGGGCATCTGCAAGTTGGGCTCCACTATGTACCCATCGAACTTGAATACCTTCTTTGATGGCCTCCTTGATTGCTCGAGCTACTAAGGACACCCGGAATTCTGAACAAGAAGGAGGCGCTGTTCGGTTGATTAAATCAAACAATGACTTGCAATCAGTGATGGCTAGATCACATTGTTCCTGAATTGTTGGTGCTGAGATGGCTGGTTCAAGCTTGGACAACGCTTCTTCGGGTCGTCGCCACTGCACATTGGGGTCCATCAGCCATGCCCAGAACAATCTAAGCCATGCTAATTGGTCAAGAGCTGCTGCCATCGCGGTGGTTTCGGCGGACAGGGTGCTAGTCACCACACGCTGGATTTTCCGGCAACCCCATGACAACGGACTAATTGGACATTGATGATTCTTTGATATATTCTTATGGGTACCCACTATGATTACCCCTGCATGAGAATCCGGTTTCTTATGGGATGAGAATGATGCATCTGAGAAAGCCATCAGTCGGAAATCTTTTGGTGAAATAGGTTTAATGACAATATTGACATGATGATGTTTCTTTGCTTCATGGAGTAATTTGTTGGCTTCTTGGAGATTTTCAACTTTGGCACTATTAATGGAAGATTGCAAAAAGGAAAGTTTACTGGCAATGTCCGGACGGGTGTTGACTGCGGCATACTGGAGGCTACCGATCACTCCCCTTAGGGCAAGTCGTTCTGGTTCAGTAACATTTTGATCAGGTTGTAGTTTCCGGTCACTGGGAATGTTAATGGGCTTGATCTGTTTAATGTAATTGGCTTGTGAAAGGTGAATGCTGTTGTCAGGTTGTTGAGTGATTTCAATGCCTGTGAAGGTGAATGCGGTACTCTTCTTTGATCCAAAGGCATATTTCTGTTCTAGTTTGTCGATCTGTTGTTGGTAATAGGAATTTCCCCCTCCTACCCCGTCATCTACATGGATTCCAAGAACTCCAGCTAAAGACCCATCCTTCTCGCGAAGTACAAACACACAGGGGTCAAACGGACAAGCTTCAAAGTTCAATTTTTGAAGTTCGCTCACAAGTGAACAATACCATAAATAAGGAGCATCGATCAATCCGTATGCACTTTTATTGAGTTTGCCCACTTCGCTTGGCAGCATGTTGAGTGCTCTTCTCATTTCCGGAACTGGATCAATTGCTGTTATTCGATCAGACTGAGGTTGTCCTTGTAGGAAAGCAGCTTTAATGTCGAAGGATTGGAGTGTCCATCCGAAGGATGAAACCGTTTGGAAAATCATCATTCTTGAGGTCTTATTAAGAGTTGGACTATCCCTGGGAATTTCCTCTATTTTCGGGTCTAAATATCCCAATACCACCAACCTTGCCTTTGCCTTGTGGGTCCGGCTGGATGGATTGTTGGTGGAAGCGGCTTCAGGTTGATCTACATTATCCAAGGGTTTCCAAGTTAAAATCCATCGGCATTTGAGAATTTGCTCTTGGGGAATTTCATGGCGAAACACTTTGGTTAGTGTTCCTGTTTGAATCCAATTTTGAATTTCTTTGTCTTTGGCCTGATCAAATTCCTTGCGCTCTGATGGACTCAGCTCTGACAACCGAATTTCTGACCTTTGTTTCTTGGCACTGGTCGCCAGAAACGTCCATGCTTCTTCATTGGTCGGTTGCCGTTGTTCTAGTGGTCTATCTAGCTTGACATCGACTTCGCAACGCCACGCTAATGGACAGTCGGCTGAGACTACCAGGCTATCGGCAGGGTCTTCACTGATCAGGTACATGGTGTCTGATGTTGCATCGGATTCTGGGAGTTCATTGCTGTTCTCCTGCTCTGACTCGGGTTGTGATATGGATTCATGAGAGACCATTCTATCTGGAACTTCATCAGGTTCTTCTCTTCCAGAGGCTGTTTCCTCATTCAAGTGTTCGGGATTATTTTCATGATATGGTATTGGAAATTCATCTTGATTGTTATTTGTGAAATTCCTTGACATGTTATGTATTTGTTGTTCCAAATTGGTCCATTGAATTTCTGTGTCAGGGCCAGGTGTCCCTTCTTCGGAGAGGGCACCTCGGACATGTTCTGGTGCACGACGGTACAATCGACCACATTGGGTGGTCCACACTGTGTGATTGTCATCCTGAAGTACTACCCTTTGTGGTCCTATCCATTGGGGGTTACTATTAGGGTTATGTTGCCATATCATTACCCATTGACCCTTTTGGAAGACCCCTCTCTGTGGGCATGGCCGGCGAAGCATCGCTCGTCGCAGGGCATCACAGTTGTCGGCTGCATGATAGGCTCTTCTAGCTCTCTCTCGGACTTGCAACATCTCTCTGAACATGTTTGGGGTGATGGTGTCATCTTCTTGAGTTACTTGGGAGTGGGACGGCAATGATTCATCTGACATCACTGACCCTGGGACTCTAGAGTGTCGACCAAACACAATTACCTCGGGAGCATAGCCATGGTGTACACTGAGACAATTCTTTGCATGAGTACACTGGCTCAGAGCTAGTTGCAACTCTTCATATGACGTGATGTGGCTTTCAGTGTCCATCCGAGTGAGCATTGCCTGGAGAAATTGCCCATGCCTTTCTATTTTGCCATTTTGCCAGTGAGCTCCAGGACAGGTTGTCTCTCCTTTGATGTTGAATCGTTGCAGGAAAGCGGCAAACTGTTCGCTGTTCAACTCGGTTCCCGAATCCACCATGATTTCATTGGGAGGTCCTGCCCAGCTAATCCAATGGCGCGTGAGAAGTTGGATCACATGTTCTGTTTCTCTGGAGGGTGATGTGATTGCAACATGAAAATTTGAACCGGCATCTATGATATGGTAAAAGTGAAAGGATTGGCCCTGAGAGTTTGTCCACTTTACCCCATCTACATAGATACGTGAGTTGAATTCCCGTATTGGTTTCAAAGTAGCTGGTCTCTGGTGTTTTGGTGGACTACATGCTGAACATGTTGAACATTCGAGCTCTTGCGACGCATGAACAATTTCAGGTCGATATCCGGCTACTTGCAGTGCTCGTGACAGTCGGTCATTGGAAGGGTGACCAAGGTTCTTGTGCATCTGGATAATCATGCGTTGTTCCCACCTTGGAAGAGCTCTGAAATTGGGACCTGTCTGTCGGATAGGTCTTTCCCCTGGCATTACTGCATGTGTCCTATTATCCGCATGAGAAGTACTCGTGGGATTACTGTTGTTATCTTGGATTCCCTCAGGATTATTTTCTGGTACTTCAGCTTCTTGGGAAATGGGAACATTATCACTGGTGAGCGGCGTTGCTGTCACGGGATCTGCATGACCTGATTCCGTCTGACTCGGTGCTGGCTGCTCACCTGCTGGCTCAGGCATTGGAGGCATAGGATTCACACCTTGGGAACTTTGGCTCGAGTCATTTTCAACAGGCCAGGGCTTTGCGAACATCGTGACATTGATTCGACAGGCATGTGCTGGTCGAATCAACTGGCGGTTGGCAAGGTGAACCCATTTTTCCCAGTCCTTTTCATACTTGATTGTTCCTGTTCCCCTTTCAAGGATAAAACTTTTCCGGAGAGGTGCTTCCTCTGGATGCATCCCCTTTGGTGGACCTAGGGTTCGGTCGGTTCCTCGACAGGCAATCACATGAATGATCTTTTGGTCATGAAACATTTGCTGAAGTTTCTCCAAGATATTGGGTTCTTGTATAACACTCTTACCAACCCTGGGAATGATCTGATTGATTTCGGTCATGAGGTTCTGATAATCTTCAAGGTGGTGGTCCTCGCTTTGTTTTCCCAGACGTCGACGTTTGACATGGTCATCCCTGGAGGATGGTGTGATCAATTCGGATCTGACAAACTTGGTTTTCTGTCGGAACTTGGTAAGAACATGGATTTCGGCATCAGTCTCTTGACACATGTGGGAAAAGGCTACTTGCCAATTGAACGGCCTGTCACGGTGGTTGTGCATCATGGCTCTGGCTACCTCTCTTGCAAACTTTCGGGGATACACTTCGGTGTATCGACTGCGCAAAACTGTTCCTTGAGGTGTTGTGAAAGACCCTGCTATTGATTGGTGAGAATGGTTACCCCGACAAACTCTCCCATGTAGTAATAGGTATATTGTCTTTGAAGTAGTAACTACATTCATCCCCTTTTTCATTGGCATTCCATTTGATGGATCCTTGAGGTCTCCAGCATTGCACATGTCAAATTGGCATGTCTGCGTATACTGATACACTTCGGCCATTCCTGGAAATTGCAGCATGAGGGATCTGGCCGGTTGTTCCCAGTGGAAGTGCATTCCTTGAGACACCTGGTGGCGAAACAGCACAATTCCGAGGGCAAGTTGATACATCAGGTTATGTCTTAACTCCTGGTATTTTTCCTGGGATTCCATGGACTTCGAGGAATTGAGATACGACCATGATGACCAAGGTCCGCAGTCTGGGCTATACCAAATGTTTCGGGGACGACGCGCTGCTAGCTGCTTAAACAATTTGGCACGGCCATCTGCCTGCGCAAGATCTCCTTGCGACAATCCAAATCGAAAACAGCTGCCGCCCTGGGCCTTTACTTGATGTGTCAAGGAGGATTCATCACTGCAAAACACTTCAGCCAGGGTTATGCGGGTACCCATTGGTGACATGGTGGCAACTTGAACATCTAATTCTTCTTGAAATTGCTGAACCAATCTGTGAAACTTTTTCATGTCAGCATTCATGGTCAGATACACCTGATCTTCATCTTGACACATCAATTCTCCTGGATGGAGTCGTTCGCCTGATCCTCCAAGTGTCGGATCACTCGGCTCAGGGCATTCTCCATATTGAGCATGCGCGTCTGCAGAGCTTGAAACTCCTCCGCATGCTGCTGGTTCAGATCCGTCAGGGGCATAGTCTCCGGGTTGGACATCTCGATATGTGACATGTTTTCCCATGTGGCATCGCTCTCGATGAGTTGGAGGTCTGAGATCTCGGCCTCGTCCACCTCGATTGGAGTGCGAGGCGCTGCCTTGCACTTGGGCTGACGGCGGCTGGTCATTGGAGCTGCCGTGCTCTTGGCCTTGGGAACTCTCACTGGGAGCTGATTCTCCTCGTGATATTTCAGTTTCAATTCCACGAACTTCATGAGACGTTGATGTTCTGGCTTGACACTGGTTTCGTATCGATTCACCATGAACCGGATCCATTCGGGGTCGGTTCGCCAGACATGTTCCATGGTGGCTCCTTGATGTTTCTCCCCAAACTTGATCTTCTCGGCTGAGAGCTCCTCCAGTGTGAGGTGTGACAGGTCCTCCCCTTTCACGGTCACTTCCTGGTACAGCTTGCTCAAACGCTGGCTCATCGACATGACTGCAAGACTCGGTGCGTTCACAGGATCTGTTTCCTGGTGATGGGTCGTTCTGAGCCAAGTTCCCTGACAGTTCACCTGATTTTCCCTTTGCTTCCCATGTTTGAATCAACTGGCTAACTTTCCGTGACCCTTTGATTTTCTTGATTTCATCAACTGACCCTTCATGTTGTGGTGTTGATTTTTCATGACAAACACTTGAATTGGCTGACATCGGCGGCTGCTTGTTTACACCGTCCTCGGATGCAAAAGTCTCATGACAAGTGCCGGTCTTCGCAGACACTTTGGAGGACTTTGGATTGGTACTGTCGGCCGCTTGAATCATGTCATTCAAATCAACGAGAAAGAGTCCTTTGTTGGTCAACTGAAGTGGCACTGGATTCTTGAACCATGGGCTTGACAGTCTCTGGTTGTGGCAATCGATGTTGGCCTGAAGCGCTCGCATCATGGTGTTACTGATTAAGAACGGTGTGCTCCCGGGGACAATTGCAACTTTGAGGTGAAAATCCCCTACAGGTACTACCAATGCCTGGGAACTGGTCAATGTTCCTTGGTTTCCAAACCTGAAAGTGATTTCACATGAACACCGGTACAACTTCTGGCGAGTGCTTGGCTGCAGACCGTGAATTAAATCAGACACATGTTCACTGCCTATGACCGTCTTGGTTGCCCCCAGATCCAGCACTCCGAGGGAGCTATGTGTGGCAAAAAGCACGGCTGCAGACAGATTGACTGTATCTGAAATACCTGGTTTTTCTGTGCTGGAACTGACAGTGGTGCCGGACAGACGGTTCTGGTCTCGGCTGGCTTCTACGGATCCTAACTCTGTTCTCTCACTCTTGGGCCGGATGCATGGCGACTCACTCCTGGTGATTCGGGCCAGGAGTCTCTCACGGGCACTAAGGCTTAGGTTCCCCCCATAGCTAGTAGTCCTACCCGAATCATTATGATTCCCCTGAGTACTACGATGGCTATGTTTCCCAAGTCCTACAACAAAAAAACATCAGTCATCCGACCCTTTGTCATGGCACTGGCGTCCTCATCAATGGCGGACTCATTCACTTCGGGCAGCTGCATGAACTCCATGGGCAAACTCTGACTGGCAGCAACGGCATTCCCCTCCGTCACCACGGTGGTGGTGGGTGCAGTGCTGGCGGCTGATGAACCAACTGATCGATTTGATCCAGTTCTGTACGGGCATTCAGCTTTCCAGTGACCACGTCTGCCGCAGGCACGGCAATTCGAGGACATGATTCTGTCCTGCAGGCTGCGTCTTGGCTGAACTCGCTTTCCCTTGCTACTACCCTTCTGGTTGAAGGATGATCCCTTACCCTTGGTGGCATTGTTGGAACCTCGACTGGATGGCCAGAAACCTCTGTTGCGGAATTTCTCACTCAGGCGGGCACGTGCTTCTTGGTAAGCACTGTAGGCGGTGGCAAGATTGGCATCATCTTGCAACATTTCCACTGCAGTTTCTTCAAAATCGGCAATGAGGCAGGCATCATCATCACCTTGTTCTCGAAGAGAGTCAATGAAATTGTCCTCTGTCCATTCATCCTGAGTTACAGAAGAGGCTTCAGCGGTTTCATCATCATCTTCATCACAGGCAAGCAAAGTGTTTTGGTCATACACCTTGCCTTTCGGCCCTTTCTTCACTCCAGTCATTTCTTGAAAGAAACTTGCACCTAAAAGGCGAATGGCTTCTGTCACACGCTGCATCGAAAGGTTACCTGAGTTTTCACGATCGCTGTCAAGGATCACCTTCTTCTTCTCCTCGGGACTGAGACCTGATCCACGTAGAATGATGTATGCTTGCAGCTGTTCCATGGTCAGCTTGCGACTCAACAACTTGCTCCATAGAACATCTGTCCTGGCTAAGAAGCTATCATTGGTTTCATCGGCTTTCTGTACTGACTCAAACAACGCTTTCTCAGCATCATCATATTGTTTCTGTAATGGAATACGGCCCCATTGTCCACCCAGCAATTCAATCAGTCGATGGACTGACTTTTCCTCGCCAGTCAACAATTCGGATTGGTGCAGCTGTAGCTTTTGGAAAGCACTACCCTCACATCCAAGGATTAACCTTGTCACCAGCTCTGTCAATTTGGCCTTTGGCCATGCAGCAAGAACCAGTTCAACTTTCTGTTGGTATACGGTCATGTCATCGGATGCAGGATTGAACGTCGGTACCAAGGATGCCAGCTGATTGCTAACACCTACATTGGGCTCAGTGGCTGACGCTGTTGATTGCGCCATTTCCCCGGATGCCGCCCCTTCTGTAAACGGAGTGGGGCGGCTCCGCTACCAATGCAATTGGAGCAATTGGTAGAAGCCCTGCTGACCCTGATGATTGATGTAGATCGTCTGTATTGAAAAGCCCCTTCCAGAGTGATTCACTGATGCTGTTATGTAATCCAGATGGAACCCTCTCTAAAGCTCACACAGCAGGCAGTCTACTTCTTTTGTCGCCAAAACTGAGAAGTCCAGGTGCCGGCGTAGCCGAACACCCTGTCGGCGAAGCAGAACACACTTCGAAACGGATGCAGCTGCAAATGCCAGGTCGGGCGGCCTCGCCCCTCAAGCAAATGGAGGTGAACCCGGTCACCTATGGCTCAAGATGGAACCCTTTCCCTCCCGCCAACAGTGGCTCGCCTAAGCCGAAATCTAAAGGACATTGATTGGTTTCACCTGAGATACACTGGCGCTTGGAGGGAACGTGACGTGTGGACTGCAAGATTTGGTGGAATTCACAATATATATGTACATATGTGTATATATATATATGCAAATATAGATATACGTACGTATATATATATATAATTATATGACATTCTTGAAACACAACTTTCGGCATCTTTTCGGGAATCACCCGATTTTCCATAGTCCCCGAACATCTCGATCAACAAGGTGCAAATCCTGGAAACAGGTTTTCTATCTGAGGCTTGCTATAGTGATACACCAGCAAACCATAGCATTCACCTGTAGTTATGGAATGTTATAGATTCACTAGTTCGGCATATCTACCATAAACCATGCTTAACCCATAGGTACAGACCTTAATCATTATAACCCACTTAGGCCGCCCGCTGCGCGCCGCCCGCTGCGCGCCTGGCTCTCGAGCTCCGAGGCCAAGTCCTTGGTGATTTGCTGGTTGAATGCTGGTTGAATGGTGGTTGAATGGTGCTTCAATGATGTGCTTAAGAACAAATATTAACAAATCTGAAAATCAAACAAAATCACACTGACGTGGTTTTTCAGAAAATTGCCCAGATTTTCACCAGGCATGGACAGTATGGACAGTCACATTGTGGCTTACAGGCCCTTTTGATGACTTGTGGCCCTGTGCATCTCACCTATCTCAAACAGCAAATTCTGATGGAAAATTGGAGCTGTCCAATTTCGGGGGGGATGTTTTTGCGCTATTCAAACAACCAGTTTCAAAGGAAAACATGGTGATCTACAATCAGAACTGTGAAGGTACCACATGTTCAACCGATGCATCAAAGATGGGCAGCTGGTCCGACTAACGTAATCCCAGAATTGTCGCTGCTGGCCCTGCAGAAAATGACAAGCATTCTACCCAGAAATGCCGATTGCCGTGCCATGTAAATTGATCCA